CACGTCGTCATGAAGTGGCTGCGGCTACACAAGTTATGGTATTGTGTACACAGTCTCTAAAGCTTTTTTGCCTCACATTCTGACGAAGCTGCTGTGGCTACAAAAGAAGCACCATGCACAACCTCTAAAGCTTTTACGTCATATTGCCATGAAGTAGCTGTTCACAATGCCATAACTTATGTAGCCGCAGTCACTGCATGACGACGTGAGGCAAAAGCTTCAGAGACTGTGTGCACAATGCCATAGCTTTTGCAGCCACAGCCACTTCATGACGAGTGGCTGAGGCTACAAAAGCAGCACCATGCACAACCTCTAAAGCTTTTACGTCACATTGCCTGAAGTGGCTGTGACTACAAGTTATGCTAATTTGCTCACAGGTAGTCTTTAGAATACTCTTCAGATTTTGATCAGATATGAAAGATCCCAAAACTTTCGCTGAATGCTATAATGGGATATCCCAACAGGGTTTTGCTTCTACACCAACTTGACTATAACCGGTACCATTTACATCTTTTTGAAGCCAAATTCAGTTTACACAGAGCTGCTTAAGCACAGAATTTGCTTAAGCACAAAATAAACATGCTTAATAAACAAAGGTTACCAGCTCAAACTCTATGTGATTGTCATGCTAACCAAAAGACAGGTGAATACCACTCCAAAACAATATACATTGTTTCTCGTGTTTGAATTAATTGTTATTAATCTTTGGTTTCCTTTTAACTACATGTGTTACCATTTTTGATGGGGGGAGGTTCGTTTCTGTTCTGTGAGGCATATCAGTAGTTTTTTGGGTTGCTCTTTTTAATGCACTTTTTGTAGTTAATTTTTTTCAAGTCTTGCTCATGTGATTTTTATCGTTGAGGTTTTCACATTTTTTTGCTGTTCTGTGATGCATGCCCACAGTTTATATTTGACATTTTCACGTTCTTAGAGGTTTTTTGTAATTTCAACGCTGGTTGATTGTAAAGCGCCTGGGAGCATTGATTTTAAATGGATTAGGTGCTGTATAAATCGACATTATTATTATTATTACATCACAAGAAGTTTTGGTTGGTAACCTGATTTGTCAAGCAAGGTTTTTTTATGCTTAAATAAATTTTTCACTTAAGCAGTGCTATGAAATTGGCCCCGGGCTTTGAATGTTGCCAAACACGGTTTAAAAACAATGCTATAAAAATTTGGGAGAACTTTGGAAAAGAAACAATAGGTGTGTTTAGAACTAAATCTATTTATCACACGATTTATATCACGATTTCCCTCACAAACGTGTACAAATTTCTGTTCACAAGACATTGCCATTTGCTTGCAATTAAGAAGTCTACCTAAGCATGTGGGTAATTCCAGAAATCAGGGATCCATTTTTTTCAATGTACCTGTCACATCTGACATATGATTTCAGAAGTTCAGAAGACATTTTCTAATTTCCATGAGTGATGAATTAATGCAAATTACCTGCCAAACAAATAGCAACAGGTCGAAATCAATGCCGGTGAAATTTGCATGTCAAATAACAAAGGCCAGATGTAAAACGGACACACAAATGTCACACTTTTGGACCCCTAATTTCTGAAATTACCCATGTACGTTGCACACCTTGTTTACAGGGGTTTGGGTTTTCAAAATCTTGGCTTTGTTCCTGTCCTTGGTTTTGAGATTTAGTTCAATAAATCCATTTCCTGCTCCAGGAGTATCGCATCATCTGTTCATGAGGTCAACGTCTGGAGTACATGTACTTTCGGTTGTTTCAAACAGCAATATGTGAAACCAATAATGGAATGGAGGTACAGCTGAGTGTGAAGCCAAGATTTATGGGGCCTGTTTGTTTCACATGGATCCGAATCTGGATCAATGATTCCTTGTTGGTTCACTGACACCAGGACCAGCCCAACGGGATGGAGCAAAGTAGCATTGGGATCACTGATCATGATCCAGGTCTGTGAGAAACAAACAGGCCCATGAACTGGATAGTTACTGTACCATGCACCCTGGACTTACTGGTTTGCTCCTGCATGGCGGGGGGATCCCCTCCCCCTCGGCGCCTGCCTGTAGACGACCGAGTCACGACTCTGGGCATTGTTCTCACAGCAGCGCATGATGGTGACAATTTTGATGACGTACAGGATGCCACAGAGCCAGCTGGAGCCCAGCTTGACCCAGAATGGAGGCCAGGTACGGTGAAGGGACTCCAGGGAGGCCTCCTCGGGTCTTTAAGAGGGGGTGAAGGGCAGAAAAGTACTTTGAGCTTCTGAGGCATCTTCCAGAATGTTCAATTGTGACCTTTGGTGCAATTTTGAAATCTACCCGAAATCGTGGGGAGAATTTGTTACACATAAAAATGCAACACTGACTTTATGGGCGACTTCAAATTTCCCAGAGTAAATTGATATCGATGCAAATCATTAAAACTGGCCACAGCATAATGCAGATCTTCCAATGGGAAACTTTGAATGCCTTCTCCACTACACCGTGTGTATGAACATACTTCTGCGGTGTACATGTACCAACCAAAGATGGCCGTCTTACCTGTACCAGTTGGTGAGGGTCATCATGACATACAGAGATGCTAGTGCCAAGGTCAGGTGGAAGAAAGAGTAGCTGTAGATGACGCCATCTCTCTCGTTGTGGATCAGACCCCAACTCTTATTCTGTGGGTGGGATGATCCTTCTGCAGACCAATCAGGAAGAGGCGAAGACTGATTTGTGTTTCCGTGCAAAAATGCAATGCCAATTGGTTACATAACCACAACCAGTGTTAACATTGACACAGTGAAACCTGGAAGACCAAGTTTTTTTTTCAGACCATATCTCGATTGTTCCATGTCTGATCTTTTTGAAGCTCGGCGTACATGAAAACACATTCACTGATCTGAAATTTACAACCCAAGGATGATGTTGGGGACAAAAGGTGTTTTTTTCAGGTGGACAGGAAGATAGCATTAATGCCAATTAGCAACAGTGTGGAAATGCAACAGAATACACGTATCCAAATCACTGTGCACAGTTAAGATTAAGAAGATGACTTACCCTCTTTGTGGCTTGTGGATGAAGAGCAACACCAGCACATGCTAGAACTAGCTTTTGGTCGTGGTGCGGCAGCCTGAAAAGATCGTTGGAAAAAGTTGTTTCACTAGTGTCGGAGAATTCAATCCTCCAAAAGGTTTTCTTTGGCTGCATATCAAGCAGTAACTTTTATCTGCTAAAGAATCTGCTTTATGTTATAATATATGTAGTCAACATATGGGGAAAAAAGGCTTTTTCTAATTAATGTTCTCTTCATTTTCTCTTAAAACTATTATCTTGCCATTCCCAGGTTTCATAGACAATCTGAAATGATGCGTACCACGGTAAATTTACACCAAACATCAACTTTCACCTCTTTGAGATCTGCTAAACTTCAGTACCCATAAACATCAGGAAACACGGAACAGAGCTGATGCAATTATTGATTCTAAGATGAATTGTCTCAAAACTTGCCTCACAGTTTCAAGGCAAATGAAAATGGATGAGAAAATGCAACTGGACCAACCTTTCTAACACAGGTTTTGTTCTGTCAAATGAGTCGATTGCAGCAAAGTCATTCAAATAAATCCGCATGTCAAATAGTTAGTTCTCAGGCAATTCCATGCAAAGTGGAAAGCTACCATTCATTTATCAAACTCATTATTATTTGTACAGTGTAACTAATCATAAAGAAAAGAATTGCTAGTGGACATAATAGCGCCATTACTTTACTTCCAATTTTATTATATTTATTTCCACTTTTCTCTTATTTTCTTCTTTTTTTTTCTGAGGTTAGTAATGGCATGCCAAATTTTCACCTACACATGGAATTGCCCCTGTGCAAATCAAATACCAAGCAAGTTACATGCACTCACTCGCTGGCTTCTGCCATTAACGCTAGAGCCAGTGAAGTTGAGGGCAGTCCCTGCAGACCGAACACTGCAGGCAACAGAACCAAAGCGGGCAATAGAATTCAATCGTATACAAGGCAACAGAAAAGCATGCACAGACACCACTGCAAATAGAAAAGCAGAGTTTACCATTACTGTACATGGGTGTCCCCACGTGGGGGGGGGGGATTGCCAGAGGTGCATCCCCTCCCTGGAAAATAAAAATGAAAAAAGGAAGTACAAGCGAAAGAAACTCCCCCCCCAGTGGAAAGGGAACAAAAATAACTAACGTGCTTTGAAACACCACAGAAATGATCTCTTTTCCAGGATGCTTGTTGAGATGCTGTTGATGAGTGATTTGTCCCCCACCACTCCTGGAAAACACACCCATGTTACTGCAGGAGAACTGCAAACTTAGACTTGGCTCCAGCCTAAGTTAATGATTGGTTCACGTGTGCTTTTGAGAGCAAGACTGGAGTTCAATTTCCCAAATCAATCATGACACTGGACCTCATTGCAAAACCCACATCTGCAGATTTAGACAGGAGCATTTTCCACTGTTCCAGGAACCAGGCATACTGCAGCTTTGTCAAAGGTCAGAGGGGGGGAAGCTCCCCTAATAACCACATGTAAAGGGAAGCTGAACAGGTGGTGTACATGTCAGTTGCAACAAAACCAAGAAAAATTTGACCGGAGAGGGACTCAAAACGACATAGCATGAGTACCTTAGTGGGGAAGTGCTGATGCACTTTTGTGACAGTACTGATTTTGGGGTCAATTTTGCTTCGCTGCATCAAAATCGAGCAAACAAACAACACCCCAACAACTGAACAAAAAACAAAACAGTAATAGACCGTATTCACGGCCCCCCCAATTTCAGTCATATTCCCCAACATAGTGTATTTATCGGGAAATGTTAAATTCAAAGAACCAGACTATATTCTACGATTTCATTCCGACCCCTAAAATCACCTGGTACCATCCCATTACGCGTTGAAAGTTTATACTGTACTTAAGGAATACGACTGAAATTAGGGATGCTGCAAATACGGTCTATTCTGTTCTCCTGCCCATGAGAAATAGGACAAGTACCTAACCACTTGTACAGCTTTACTGCTCTCAATGTGATGCAAACACTATTTTTGTTAGTGGCAAAAATCAAAAGCTATTCAGGAAAGATCACACAAGGAAATAAAAAAATATCAGCAAAAATAAAGACTTTCTAATCTGATAGGTCAGAGAAAAATTCACTTCCACGTGCAAACTATAAATTGCTGAGGACCATGTCATGTGCAGTTGGAACATCGTTTCTGCAACACGTCTGTTCCTTGTGTGACCTGCTGGGTTGAACTGAATTATGCATGCTTTCAAGACATGCTACATGTATATCAAGCTGCCTACATACACGTGATGGGTTAGTGTGTTTCATTTGAGGGTGATCAGTTGAATCTGTAGGCCGTACCTACCATCCATCCACTATTTATTCAATGAAATGCACGTGTGACCAAACCTTACAAAATGAAGCATAAGTTCCGAGAGCTGCTGGATTTTTTTTCACAATTTCAATAGCGAAAGCTGTCAAACAGTTTCACATTCATATCTCCATCTGCCCATGCAGATAAAATCAATCTACATGTATACATACATGTGAGATGTTTTAAAAGTGCTCTTGTAAGCACATTGTTTCAAAGGTCCTCATTTTGGAGGATCCAGCTAAACAACATTCCTGTTTTATTCCAAGTTGTGTGTTGAGTAATTTTACAGTGACAAGGAAAAGCAACAAGCACCAACTCAAAGCCAGTCAAGCTTTGTTCTTCTTTCAGGTTTTGTTTAGATGAGGACACTTCCACTAAGTGTCCAGAGGGTTTAAATCTATGTATTAAAAAGGGTTGCAGATTAAACGTCCAATGAAAACAAATTATCTTGGCACAGCATAGACTAAATAACCCGCGTACCTTCACCTCTGCATTGCATCTGAAAGATAAGAAATTGCTCCAGAAAGGTGCATATGAGATTGGAAGCTAAATTGCAGTTGATATTCCTCATTTCCCAAGAGCATCCAGAATTACCAATTATGGTATTAAGCTGGTATTACAACATTTTAATCATTCACTGATTTTACAAAACTATTTTCGAGCCTTCTTAAAGACAATGAGAGGTTGTGCAGCATTGTGTTAATAGAAACTGGAAAGCTGGCAAATTCAGTATCAGGCGCTTGACTTCAACAATGCACTTGTTAGACTGGAGACAAGCAAGCAATCAAGCAACACATTGACCATGCCATGCATAACAGGCACAGAGGGGAGTTTGCTGTGTGTGGCTGTCTTACACTTTGTCTGCCTGGCTTGTGATTGCTTCTCCTATGCGACATGCTAGTCCAAAGGCTAAAAAAAATCAAGTGGCAGAAAATGCAGTAATACATTTACTCAACATATTTATATTAACTGTTTATCAAGGATCTTCAGAAAGAGACCAATTATTGTAAGAACTACTGATGATTGATTACCAAAGCATTCCGAATTCTATGCTACACCTGCTTCAGATCAAACTTGCCAGAGGATAATAAGATTTTAAAACGCACACTTCGGGGAATGATCACGAAATTGACAGGAAGTCTAAATCATACACGAATACTTGAGCATTAGTACTTTGCCCTTCTATTTTTAACCCTAACCCTCCTGAATCCTTCACCTGTTGGAGGATTGAGGAGGGTTAGGGTTAAAACACACAATGATGCAGAACCGGTTAATGAGCATAATACATGTGTCATGTGTTATCAAAACACCTTCAGTCACGCATGACTGATGGCCTCATTATTATTATAGGAATTAAGGTTGGACGGATTACAAAAAAGGAGCCGTATTCCTGCAGAAGGCTCACAGAAAAAGAAATCCCATGTGACCGTGGGAGCAGAAGGCCAAATTGAGCTCACCATGCATACAGCACCATGCCAAGCAACAAAATGGCCGCCACCATCGCATTAACCAGCTCCGTGTACATGCTGTTCATGATGAAGGTCGAAGCAAAGCCGCTGCCCAGACCACAAGTGACATAGGTTGTGTTGTAAACGCTGTGGGTCCCGTTATCAACCAGTAGGCTTTTGACTGCATGCAGACAAATGGTAACAACAGATCGAGGCTGGGTCTGAAGTACTTGGCTGTGGCTAATTGCACGCGCATGACATTGTAACAATACATGCTGCAAGAATTTAAATTCCTTTTGAGAGTCAACATTTAGTCTCCGTTCTGACTCGACCCATTTTACGTCACCTTCTTCCCCAACTTCTCATAAGAATTGTACAGCGTTCTCGTGGACAAGAACTCACCAGACAGACACTTGAAAATATTCAGATAAGAATCGTACAAAGTTTCACAGGGCAACCCTGACCTGGGGATGGCCCCTGCGGCAAACAGGCCAGACAGTGGGGACAAGGTTGAACCAAATTCAACCTTTAGAAGCTGCTTGAATGCTTTTTTTTTAATGTGTGGGGAATGATTTCAATTATGAGGCTTCAAATCACACTGTAGTCGTGTGGTGCTGCAAATAGACAGGTGCATAACAAACAAATTATGTGTATTGGGAAATGGTGGTACACTTTGCTATGAACTGCTCCCATCAGAACAACTTGAACTTTGAAAAAACCCACAAGGCACATATGTGTTTCACTGATTTTGAACAGTCAACATGGCTTACCTTCCACTGGCGGTTCAACTAGAAGTGCAGACCAGGTCAAGTACATGATGTAGGCTGACACAATGGATGCCTGCAGGAGACCACCTCGTGGATGACCTGTCATGAACAATTTATTCCACCTTCATGTACATGTATATGAGCTCCTTAAAAGCATATTTGTCAAAACCAACAGTGCCGAGCCAAATTCCCTCCTCCACAGCAAGAGTGTTACAAATTGTGAAAAATATTTTCATCCCAAAAACAGAAAGTTCAATTATTTGGGCTTTATCAGAAATGGAAACTCAGCATTTTTCTACCTGAGGGGTAAGCAATGTGCTAGGAATATCACATGCCTCACTGGTGTAAAAAAAAAGGCTGTTCCACATCTCATCAGCCACAGTTGTTACAAGTGTGTATCCAAAAGGCCTTGGCATGTCAGTACCCAGCTGCATTACAACGCGTGTGGCATTTCAATTCAGGATGTCATCCACTAAAAGGCAGAAGCTACTCTTTTATCACACTGTAGCACAGAAACCCCAAAACACAGTTTGATTACCCACTTTTTGGCAGGCAGGGCATGATGGAGAAGACACTGACGAATATGCAGAGTACGAAACTCAGACAGGAGAAGAGGATGTTACGGACGCACTCCGCTCCGGCAGCAAAGTAATGGAGAAGAAAGACCAGCATCCCGACGGAGACGGCATAGAAGAGAACTATGAAGAAGACCAAGGCTGCAAAGAGAAAGGAGGACATGATTGGGCCCGTTAATATTAATGTAGTGACCTGTAATTTATTGCCCTTAACTTATTGCACGGAAAACTACACATCTAATTAGTTATGCAGCCCAGAAACCACTTTACGCTTTCCATGACCCATGCCAGAACATCCACCGTAGCAAACAGCTCTTTTGAAATCATGAGTCATGTCCCATTGAGGCCATACCCTTTAACTGACATCTAAGCATGAATTAACAAAGTCAGTGAACATAGTTTTACTTGTGTTCCATGGGTAGTCCTGATGGTTTGCTTTAGTTTGGGTTGGGAGTGATGCGTAATCACACTTTTTATGAATGGCAGAGCAATATGTTCAGAATCACTTTGAACAGTGCCTTGTGGCCTGTGGGTGTTGGTCTTTCAAGAACTCTCTAGCTTGTGGCCTTTTCGCCGCTGATCAAGCAACGCCCAGGTAAGAAAGTTTTGCTCCAAAATTCCTCACTCTTCGTACCTTTTTCTGTTAGGAACCCTCACAGAGCTTATCATCATCATGACTGCTGATTATCATGGATCAGTTGGTCTTATACGTAAGGATAATGGGATTTTCATTCATTTTTGAGTGGTTTTATAATTGTAGTGTTTGGATTCTTTTGTGGTAGATTGCTGTGTCCCATACGTTATATACACGTACATACACAGTGCATGTCGCGTTGCATTTACACTGGGCATGGTGTACACAGCAGGCCTCGTGTGTGTGACATCACACTGTGCACAGAACTCACCTACATACCACAACACCGACCCATTGTTGTCAATCTTCATTGACCTGCATGTACATGTTTGAAAAACAGAACAAAAAAAAAAGATTGATTTTACCACACATGTCAGTATCTCACTGAAAACTCCAGACAAACAGGAAGGACTTTGCAATGGATCTTTATCATCATGCTGCCATTTTTGTCTTGCCCCTGTATACCAAATGACAATAGTAACACAACTTTACCTATGGATAAAAGGAAGCAGACTATTGTTTCTTCCAGCTTAGTACACTGCTTTCAATGGAGAAAAACAAGATGGCTGCCTCATGATCTTCAATAATTTTGTTTATAAATACTACACGGTGATAGTATTGAAAATGCCTCCAGGAGAGACACTTGGGTCCATGTATATGTGCTGAAAGGCTATCGCAATTAAGATTCATTTTAATTCAGATAAGGATCTAAAAGACACACAGCATATTAAATACACAAAGTCTTTTTCCATTCACGCTGTGCGAGCATAAGATGAATAAGGACTGTGGCAAAATTGTGTCACTTGAGACCGGACTTCAGAGGCAAACATTTTAGAATTCTACCAAACGTTCAGTCTGAAATCACTCAAAATCAATCAACTCGTTTTAAGGCGTGCGATCGCACTCTTACACCATTGCACACCTAAAAGCTTCCCAAAAAGTGCGAATGATTGCATGTCCGGAAACATCCCTGAGTGTTTTTCCCACACGCCTGCAATTTACAAATCATAAGTACTGTAGAAATTTCCTTTTTTAACAGATCTACGCAAACAGAAAGCGACTTTACTGGATAAAGTTTTGAAGAAATTCTAAAAAATCAAACTCATGACATCTTACATGCACACAGATGTGTACATACCATGGGGGGGTCTCTTGGGAAATTAAAGTGTTTGAGCTCTGTGACCTCAAATAGACTATTTTTTCCTTGTAGCCTGAATGGATGTCAACTTCAAAGGGCAACTTGACTGTTTTCATCCCATAAAAAGATAAAAGGTTCAACAACCCTAATTTCTGATAGGCAGGAAATCCATGAAACAATAGGCTGGAAACCTTAGCAGCAGGAAATAACCACAATTTTTATTAAAAAAATATAAATGTAGTGTGATCAGGGAAGTGATAGTTAATTGGTTATGGGATGTGATTTGTGTTTATCTTCCAACATGTATTTTGCCTTTTGGTTTCGGGTTTGTACCATTCTCTTTTGCTTTATTTTTGTTTCGATGATGGCTTGTCTGCACAGGTAAAGAAAATGCATTCCTTTTGTTTTGATTATATTTTTTGTAGCTCATCTTGACCAAATCCCACACATTTTGCAAACACACACAGTTTTTCTGCATTTTGGTCACTCAATCAGACTTGGAAGACTATGATATCGAATCATAACTTCATGTGACATGCCATCAAAGTTGTAGTTTTGCAGTTCTGTATATATCTCCTGAACCACAAATTCAACTGGGTTAAAACTTGGCGTACACCCAATGGACGAGCAATTTGGCTGATGTCTTGATAACATCATTTTGAATTTTTTCGTCACTTGTTTTATTTTTCTAATGTTTAGATATTTTCAAAATGTCTTTGGCAAGACCTTTGATAATTCAAGTATGTAATTTATACATTTTTGTGATGTCACGATGACATAATCAAATCATCATATTCCCAAGACTGAGGCTTTTCACTCTACATGCCACGTAGCAAATGCACATATAACAAGGGAATTTTTTAACCTTGTAATTGCAGAACAAACCTATGTTCTTTTCAGACACAGATCTCAGCTTTCGTTTCTTTCTCCATTTTTATTTTCTTTTTTCATTTTCACTCTGCCTAGTTTATCAACCCTCCTGCTGACGAGACAGGGCCATTTTTAGCACATCCAAAGACATTCTTTAAGGTCGTGGGCAGCGTTACCATTTCTTATTCCACGTGTGGGCAAAATCCAGCAGCATCCAGAGCTGCATGAAGATGAAGACAGCAGCTCCGGCAAAGCCGATGTACAGCCCCACGCTCAGCATGATGTCTGAGATGGGCAGGAAGAATGACCCCACCACCAGGCCAACCATCACAGGCACCTTGTAGAACCAGCACCTGGTGACACAAAGATGCGATGAGGATCTTGGAAGCAAAGATTTTAACTTGGGGTGTACATGGGTGGCTCTGGGACACCTTACAGACTAATGCGCTGACAGAGTCTAGATCTTTCATCTTTCACCGATCAATGTACAGGACTTTTTTTCTTCACCAACCTGTAGGATTACTTTACAATGTTTTATAATGTTCACCTTTTGAATATGTAATTTCATAAATCCAATCTGAGACTGCAAGGGGCACTTACTCTAGTGCCCCATGCATAAACATGTGGATTTACAAATATTGCTTTAAGTTATCATATGTATTTACAATGTTCTGACAGTTTTTATATGTAGATGTATGCATGCTTTTAGTTTCTAGTATCATAATTCCAATATTCTTGAACTCTAAATGCCTTGGGTATGGAAACAACATGATCCAATTAAAGTTTCAATTAAGCAACCTTCTGCATTTCCATAACTTATCAGAGAACGCCGGTGTCTTTCCACGTTTTCTTCATGTAGGAATAGTAACTTTCCCTGGCGTCATTTGCCTTCCCTATTTTAGGATCCTTAAACCTGATAGAGTAACGAAGTGCGAGACGGTGAACCAGAAAGTGCAGTGCAAATGAATGGAGTACACGTGTGTGTTTCTTTACATGCTGGTTCTCTTGCTAATGCCTTGTACACACATAAGCGTGCGTGTGACATATTCATTTGGGTACCCTACTGCAAGCAAGCCATTTTCCCAGAAATGACAGAAAGATGTCTTCAGATTTTCAAGATGACACAGAAAAATGGCTTTAAGAAACAAGGCCATATTTGAATCTAGAAAGTATACCATCATTGTGAACTCAGAAACATAGATGGTCACACTAACACTCTATTCAATCCTTGTTTTTCACCACCAATAACTTTTATCCAGATGCCAAACTGACTGATATATCAAAACTGATGAGCCCAGTTTGTTTTGTTTTATCAAGCTTTACAAGACTCACTTTGTAGGATCAGATCACCACCCCAGGTTCTGAAGTTCCAGCTCTGCCAGTGCTAAACAACTGATACAATCTATTCTACTATACCCATTGTGTATTGCAGCTCTCCATGACTTGCTAGTCCTGATACCAACAGTTATGCCGAGCATCGCAAAGAAGAATACCGCCATGGAGAAGCATACTCTGTACACAGAGGCATAACCGGTGAGCCTCATGCAACCTTCGCCAGCCCCGATGGTGCGACAAAATTCGATCAACTTGGGGTACTGGTGGTGGAAAGAACAGAACAAAGTATGGTGGCAAAGTGATGTGAATGCTGGGTAAATTTACTAACACTGAGATTGGGCACAGATTTTAGCATGAATCACCGTCCTGAAATCCTAACAACTACATTTAAATCTTGTTACCTTGAAGATTTCCACACCCGTGTGGTGTTTAGAGGTGTACATGCACATCTACAATCAGCCACTGGAATCATCATCAATTTACACGGTTCAATTTTGACACTGATTTCTTTTTTAAGAATTAATTACACGTACACACTCATACAATGTACACAGTGCAATGGCAAAATTGAAAGTGAGTGCAAATGAACTTGTGGTTTTTAAAAGTTTGAACATTTTCCAATTTGCAAAGCGATGGCCTTGTACTTTAGTACATATAGACTAATCCGATTAGACGCCATATTCTTCAGCTTGACGCTTGCGTGCATTTGGCAAATTACGACACCTTGTTGGTCGAAGAGGCCTGTAACGCGCACGTACCACCTGTTCATGAGCGTTGTGCCGCCGCAGTAATGGCTTCTAATTCTGGTAGTCAAATTACACTATACATGTATGTCACAACCACACATGTACATGTGGGTCTCACCAAGTGCACACTTCAATGAAGTATTGAACTATTTGCAACATCTGACTGATTTCACCACCACAAGTTTACGAAATCCTTTGATGACTTTATTCTGGGTACAAAAAATCTGACTTCATTTTACATTCTATGGACATGAGTCATCAATGAGTCAACAGAACACTGTTGTTCACATTTTTCCCTCCATTTTTGCAAAATAAATATTTACAATTTTATTCAATTTTTTTTTTACTTACTTTAGGAAGTTCCTGAGCCACAGTCTCTGACACAAATGCGCATGACAGCACAAAGCCGATGACAAAGAACACTGCATACAGAATTCTGGTGCTTGTGGATTCTCGGACAGGAGCACAAACACATGCACAAGATGAACCTTTAAAGCAGCAATTTATCTGTCAAAACGAGTCAGGAATAGATTGTCAACTTTCAATGCTGATTGTTTTCAACAATATTAATGATGCATGTTTGGAACAATCGTGATTCAATTTTTTCTGTGCGCGGGTATTCCATACCGGCAACAAGTACATGTGTACCTCATGTAGGGAAATCAGATTACCCAGTGCAGTTGGAAATAATCAAGACGCAGCGTATCACTGTTAACTTAAGGGGCCTGTTGCTTTTGTTATGCATCAATTATACTATTAGTCATACAATTACTGTATGTTGATCTCAACAATACGGTCACAAATGAACAAACTGAGCATCAATAAACGACAACCACACCTAAGTTGCTAACGTAGCTCGTTACTGTTTGGTCGAAGGAATGTCCTCAAAACACATTTTTCCTCAAATACTTTTCAAAAATTCAAGTAACACATGGTCAGTATAATTTGAATTCAGGTCAGAACAATCGCATTCGAGTTGGTTAATGTGATGTGACCTGCGAAAGCTTTGTCATTTTGGTGCATATCAACTTCACATTGATCTGGACACTCTCCCGTTTTCAAAACCATGAAAACTGTTTAATTTGTGATTCTAGACAACCTAGTTTGATGTTGTAGACAACCAAGAGTCATCAATGTAATATATCTGAAAATGAAAGTCTGTCCATATTAATTTGAAAAATGCATCCAAATGACAAAGCACACCATGTGAAGGGTTTTCACATATCACATCACAAGTATCATTTTTAAATCCTATTGTAAGTGGGACCACTCAACAGTAACGTGCATTGTCAAAATACATGTATTGGCTGAAATTTTTCTATGGAAATTTATGTAGGAAGTTGACAATGCACTCAGGATTGTGGATACAATGCTACGTACTAACGACGAGTTAACTGCAAATGGCAAGACTTATTATATCTATTCCACCATGCATGGCCAAAGTGACAGTTTACACACATTTAAAAAAAAAATTGTCACATGGTTACCCTGTTTAACTTTTACCCGTTTACTCCACATCCTCATGATGCATGACATCTAGAAATTTGAAAATTCCTATGTCATTCAATAACACTAACAGCCAGGAATGAGAACTATGTTATTGGTTACAATGATGGTAATTTTGATGATTAATGTGCATCTTCACAACTGAAGACATATATGTAGGCCTAAACAGGTTCTCGTGAATTTCAGTCTGAAGTCCAATTAGGCCTACCATGATTACCTGGGCGTCACAGCAGTCAGCCATCGCTGGATACCTAATTCATCACACCAGTAACGTCACACTCTTGATATTTTCTATGATATTGGCCATAATTGACAGTACAGTTACTGTACACGCGGTATCACAACACGTCAACACGGGCCTTAATTTCTAAAACCAACACAAAGGCCTGGTCCAGCAGTCAGCGACAGCCTGGCCAACACTTTCTCAGTATCTGTCCAACATCAGTCTTGGCAAAACTGATTCAAAACGGAGGCTTTGTCCTGTTTCATACGATTTTTAAAAATAGATCTGAGTAAAAGGTGCAGACAAGAGTTATGTTTGGATCAATGACAAACAACATTGTAACCAAACTTGTCTGCACGCGATCGACGTCACTGCCTAGTTCTGTCACAGCACACAACGTCAGGCGCACGAATTCCACCTGATAAATGTTTTGATAATGAATTGCACAATCTAGCCGCACTAGACTGTCGACTGTGCAAGTATATAGACTGGTTCCCAATCCCTCAATTATCCCTCAGAAGGTAGACGTTACATTCAGTAGGCCTAACTCCTAATGCAGTGCAAGCACTAAGTCATTGTTAATCGAACTGTACAAATTACAAATTGCATTTTCCTTTTCAAAACGGTATAGCGAGTAAATTTATTATTCATTCCCAAAGTAATATCTTATTTCCCTCAGACTGTAGGCTCTGTGCCGAGTTGAATCGCTAAATAAGAAGATACATATATAATGCAAGTGTTTCAATAGATTTCTGATAAATATATAATCATGGATGAAGCATGTACATGTGCATGTAGTGATTAATGTAGAAATCACAGTCCATAAAAAAGCTGCACACGAGACGAGTGTGTGGAGTGCCGTGGCCTCGCGGTTAAGAGCATTACGGTTGTCAGTGGTTAGCAGATAGAGTCGGACACGGAGTCTGCAGCGGGTTGCAGCCGGAATCCATGAGCCTGGGGTGTACCCTGGGGTTACTTTTTGCTTGGCACTTGAATGGCTCCCCAGGGAGCTGAGCCGAGATATGGGTACATGTGTTTGGAATGTAGATCTTAGTTAATTAAAACATATGATGCAAGATATCGGGCGAAGAGCCCGCCTTTGTGTCGGTAATTGTTTGATCTGAATCTCAGGAATTCTTTACAGACTTCTACGGGGATGTGTTAGGTAACAATAGTCTAGAGTGTGTATAGGGATTGGACATGTGTGTGTGTGGGGGGGTATCCATCGGCCCCATATCGTGCATAGTATCGGTTAAAAGCGCTGTAAAAAAACCTATTATATTATTAATATTATTATTAAACACTAAATTAACCCAACCTTGGAGGACGACCCGCAGTATGCAAATATCACTTGAAGTGACAAAAATAATGGCACTGTTAATTTCTTTGATGAATTTTCGTGCTGATTTTTCTGTTTTTCTACTTCCATAAGTAGAATTGAAAACGTTTCAACGGAGAAAACATAAACAAAGTCGGTCCTAATTAAAAACTGACGGCTGATGTTTACCGCGACGCGGTCCAGACCCAGGCCCCATAGCCATGGAAGTGGGAACCAGTCTACGAGTTTTGGTGTTTAACGTATTTCCAGCCTAAATGGAAATCTCTTGGTAACAAAAAAGGTTTTTAAACTCAAGTTCCTGTGTTAAATCATCATACTCACTAATGCCTTTGCCGAAAAGTTGAAATATGTACCCTTGATAGCAAACAATTTTAAGTAAATGTCCCTACTAAAATCGGCGTGCGACCAATGAATGGATTGAAGAAAGGCTTGGCTGAATCAACCAAACACGTGGGGGCGCTATATTACAAACGTACTGCGGAAAAGAGTGCGAATGTATTATGTACATGTACATGTGAACGTCCTTACGTACGTATACGTGTACGGTGTGTACAGTTGGTAAGGCCGTTGCTAGCCCCAGTTTCCGGCATGATAATGAATGCGAAAGCGTTTTCTTACTTTTCCACGCGGACTCGTTTTTCCAAGAACTTTTCTTTTATCAAATAGCAACAAACTACTAGCATCAGGTAGGTTTTAGCGTATTTTGGGAACAGATGGCATTGTTTTACGTATGGCCGGCTGTTCACGTTCGATCGACATGATCGAGTTCAGGTTTCACTAGCAGGCAGTGGACGTGGGCTGTAGTACACATACATATACACTATGTTCTATCTACACGTTACACTTACACAGTTAGGCCTACCCAGTTCGTGTCGTCTAATACGTTTGCTAATTTTCAAGATGTATTTTTGCATTGGGGAAATGTTAATTTATATAACAGGTTTTGCCCTTACCCACCGTATATATTATTATTAATAAACACTGTATGCTCGGTGCTTGTCCGAAAGCTTGCGAAAAAAGTCACGAGATTACTTGGGTAGGACTCGAACCCACGACCTCCTGCTTACCAGTGCAGACGTGTTAAGCAGGAGGTCGTGGGTTCGAGTCCCACCCCAATAATCTCGTGACTTTTTTCGCAAGCTTTCGGACAAGCACCGAGCATACAGTGTTTAATATGTACATTGGGTAAGGGCAAAACCTGTTATATAAATTAACGTTTGCTAATACTGCGGCTGGAAGAGAATTTATTAGGTCACTTTACTGTCTGTCCCCATAGCTAGCAAATTGGTCCATACTTTTCATGAGGTGAAGACGAAGGCTCTTGATATGTATAGGCCTAATACTAGTTCCGAGGTTCTAATTCAAAATGTTCAATTTTGCACCAGTCACAAATGCCTGCATTTTGAAAAAGCGAAATCAAAACTTCAACAAGACTTATGTAACATTGAACATGGAAAAAGGTTGACCTGTTGAAGTTGATGACATAATTTTCCTCAAGATAAAGATAACGTACCATTGGTATCATGGGGCTTTCATATGGAGTATTTGTAGTTGAAGGTCCCACATTGTTGACTACCACTAGCCTAACATGAACATCTGGCGTTGCTTTTGACTGCACCTGTTTTTGGAGAGTGTACATAGCCTAACTGACAAACGGGCTGGGTGGCGGCATCAGACATCCGCAATGAAGATTTCAATTTGAGATTTTAGTTTACACACTTGCTCCCTGTAGTGATGTTACAAGGTCATTAAGATGGGGCAGATCTAACACCAGAAGAGAAAAAAAATGGTGCTTTGGGGTCACATACAAGAAGAGAAAAAGGACGCTCAGCTCAGCCATTGGACCAACCAACATGAAATCAAAATGTTAGGGGAATAGGGGCTTGACGTCAACTTCCTATAGGAGCGTTGTTCAAAGCAGAGGGTGTAGCCTAGGAGAAAGGTTGCAGTCTTCATGGTGACAGTCCAGCAAAGTTGCCCTGCATGACCTATGTACATGTAGCTTCCACACCTCCATGGAGGCCTGGTCAGACCATGGAGGAGTTCCTTCCTCCATGATCAGACCTTGAGTGACCCCACAGGCAGCTTACCAGCCCCTCCCACCTTTGAATTCGATGTGCACCATGTGGGATTATATAAAAGTAATAAGTACAGGTTGGCGTGGTGTGTCTCGGATGGGCATTCTCTGTCAGCTCATGGGTGTAGTGGAAGAACAGGAAAGGGCACTGTCCTAGCAATAGGCTGATCCAAGGGGCCCCATCCAGGACAGCTTTTGTTGATTGTAAATATACACATGTAATGAGAAATTCGGGGGGGGGACTTTTTCATTTCTGTTCTTTCCCAAAGTGTGAAAAGAAACACCAAATTTAGCCTCTCCCCAAAAGGCCATAAAAGGTTCCATGTACAATATTTGTGATATAACCCCCCTCCCCAGAAAAACTGTGGCCCCTCCAACCAAAAAATTGAAACATGAAATGGCATTGCAGAATGCAGATATTTTTACACATTAATCCCACAAGTTTTTAGTTGGAGCTTTTTGAAGTCCACCAGTTAGAGGAGGAACCTTATCATAATTCAAAGCTGCTGATGTTTAGGGTGACTGTATACAGTATACAACTCTACCACGGGCAAACGTTTCCATGGATATTCAGATTGGAGCCCTTTATGTTCTGTTGAGGGGGTTTTGTGGCAGTTTTACTGGAAATCAAATTCCAAAGATAAATTATGGGAGCGAGGATGACCTGCTTATTCATGTATTCGGTTAACGGTTGGCTTTCAAACGTGGGCGTCAAGGGGTGAGTTATAAGGGTGTGCTTGCCCCCCACAAGAAATTTTTAGAAATAATAAAACAGGGAAGGAAAAAGCGGGGAGGCGGAGGAAACAGGGGGACCCTGTTTTAAAAAAACTCTTTCCTCATATTGTTCTGTTTTCATGTCTGCTCTTGTTTGGAGGAAAAAACAGCCAACAATACGTCACCAGCAAAGGCGTGGTTGCGTTGGTATCACTGTCATTTCGTTTATAAGATACATTTTTTCCAGACATTGTCTTCCTGAAGTGCAGGTTATTCCTTCTGTCGAATGGAAATGGTGCTGTTAAGCCATGAGCGTGATGTAATTGCATGTATCCACTGATGCCTTGCCGTGCTAACGGCTTGAGAGCAAAATAGGAAACACTTGTATCATCTCATTTCGGAGTGCGTTAAAAGCTTTTTACCTTTGGTCGTTTTCTAACTGGTCAAGGTCATTTCTGATAAAGAGACACCGATGATGATATACTGGAGACCACAACAAATATAAATCCTTGAGGCTTTATCCTGAGAAATAATGTATTTCGGAAACAAATCTTTTCCAAATAATTTCCCTTGAAGAAATTAGCTGGACAGTGGATTAATTCAAATAATCTTAAATCTGCGTTATTGTTTGTTTGTCAGTTAATCTGTTGGCTGGTTTGGTTTTGTCCGAATGAGTTGGCTCCAATTTGAAATTGCACCTGAGTCTATATAGCTGTGACTGCACTTCCCATAGTAGTGTCCCAGCCAAGATAATGGAACACGGCTCAATGTCATTCCTGTGCACGCGCATAGTGCGTATTAATGTTGTCGGCTCGTGCGCAGAGGTGGCTGCACGACTTCGGTCCATTAATTATACACGCATCCGGTTTGGTTAGAGAGGACTGTATAACAAGATAATGCCGTGGCGCACAAAACGGTAATTGAATTGCCAAATGTTTGTAATGAATTTGCTGAATAAACTAAATATATGTGCGAGAAAAGTCCTCTTGAAATGTTTCGTTGGTTTCTGACAGAGATATGCACATACATATGCGTTGCACATACACACTACAGCTGACGTGAATATTAATGATGTTGCACGTTTTCCTTGGGACGAATAAATTGATTAATCACAGAAATTTGCAATGGGGAATGCCAAATCGTATAAACTAGACCTTAAATACAGGAAATAAGCGAGAGAGTTTTAACCCTGGTTAAGCTACTTGCATGCGACCAGTGACCCATGGAGTTAGATATGTATGTTCGTGCGTTTCCAGTTTGTCTCATTAATTTCACTGGCAGAATTCTTTGTTTCCTACTTTGTTAGTGTCGATCATTTTCAACAATACTTGCCGACTTGTTTCGCTACCGACTTTTGTCATGCACCACTGTGGCTGCATTGCTGTATAGAATGGTTCCCGGCGTATGTCTTGTAGTTACATTTTAGCAGATGGAGCCAGTGTAACGATACTTTACAACATGCAATTTTTAAGCGATGACTCAAGGAAAAAGTCATGGCAAACTATTTTTCATTTCGCGATTCGACTACATTGAGAACCGACCGAAAGGTGAAATATGGAGGCATACATTTGAAGAAAATGCACGAGTTTGGGTGTTATTTTTTTAACTTGATTTTTTTTTTTTTGGCGTTGGAATTAAGTGTTGTCCCAAAATCTTCATGTAAAAACATTGCAGGCCGCCACATGTTTTAATGGACCAGAGCTGGAGATGGGTGTATTGGTGACTGAAAGTCGCTGCACCGAACGAACGATACCGAAAATTTTGTATGGACTAAATTTTGCATAGAATATAGAGAAGTTGTGCTGTAATAATGAATCCACGGAAATATTTATTTCTCTAAATTTGAGGGCATTCCTTCAAATGAGTATTCATTTCGTTTGCATGTTTATTAACTTGAAGATCGCCATGTATGCTACGTCGAGGCATGGTGATATGTTCTGGTTTGTGTATACATGCCTCCGTGGCAACAGACACAAAGCGCCATTTCCCTGCCTGTCCATCACACTTGAGTCGTTCTCCATTTAATAATTAGCACACATTGATTCCTATAGGTTCGCTCACGATCTTACTGTTCAACCAGGCAGTCTTTGCTGATTATATTGCGGGCAGAGAAAAATGCCAGGCTGGTGTGTATGTGCTGAAAAAATATTCCCAAGCGGTACATTCTATCTGGTGCTCGCTCCGATGTAGAAGGACTGATCGATACTCAGCCGCAGTTACGGCGGGAAGAAGTGGCGTGTAATGATAATGAAAGAGCATTTTTCTAGCGCTCTCTATTGTACTATACAGGTGACCTTGCTGCATGGTAAATTTTTCCCCAATTTTAATCGTACTGTGCAGGGTAAATGAAGCATTTTCTGATTAACTTCATTCAGAATTTGATCTAGATTACTAATATGTTTTGATATTTTCAGGCAGGATCTGATGGTTTCGGTTTGGATCAGAACGGCGACTCCGATAAACGTTACCATCAAGCTGTTGCGTTTTAAATTCTAAAAAAACTTATTTTCTTGTGGAATATGTTGTGATGTGCGGACTTCAGCGGAAGCATGGCTGCCTTTTTGATGATGTGGATGTTAACTTCACAGAACGCTAAAAGGATACGCTAACTTCGCAGTGTGTTACATAATGCGGTCGGAACTACGTATTAAACCTGCTCCATTAAAACCCAAGAGTGGGAGTGCATCTGAACGTAGCAGATAAAGAACGGCCGACTCCAGCCCGAAATGCGACGGGCCGCCCCGCAAAAGCCCAACATTTTACCGGGAATCACATGTGCCGGCCGTGACTCTGATTTAAGCTGGCCAGCGTTCCAAAGCTCTTCCCAGGCACAGCTGTTGCCTTGCTCCAAGTGCGGTAGGACTTTCCTTCCGGAAAGGGTGAAGATCCACGAGAAGATGTGTCCGGCCGGAAGGGAGCCGGACAGTCGAAGGGGTCAGCCTGGTGTGAGAGCACGATCAAGAACGGAATCCAGAGAAGCCAGGGATGATAGTGGAGGCCTCTCGAAATCTTGGGGTGGGTCAATTTGTCAGGAAGACGACAGCCAACCTTCCCGACCAGGCACAGCAACTTTGATCAGACCGAGTACGGTGACTCTGAAACAGCGTGACCAAGTTACCATTGATGACGAAGAGTACCAGGTCCCGGATGAAAGTATTTCCAACCAGCACCTTCAAACAGACAACTCTTCTACCATCTCACTGGACAGAAGTGTGGTGCATCGAGTAGCGAAATCTCGTCCCAAAAGTGCAAAGAGGGGGCGCCAGACAAATACCTTACCGCTATCTTCTCAGCTGGGCACTCCATCCTCGCAGGCCAGTGGTTCCGTTTCCTCTCGGACCGCTGCTTCTCCCCTGCAACCGAGACCCCCTTCCAATCCCCGACCAACGCCACCTCCTACCGCTACCTCGAAATTAGCTCCCATTAAAGGGGCAGGCAAACCTGTCACTGTCGTCTGTTATATCTGCGGTAGAGAATTTGGCACGAAGTCGATATCAATTCACGAGCCCCAGTGCCTCGAAAAGTGGAAGATACAGAACAGCCAGCTGCCTAAGCATCTGCGCCGTCCCGTGCCGAGAAAGCCCCAGGATCTTGGTTCGGTTCACTCCAATTCCCCTGGTTCTGATCTTAGTGGATACAATCAGGCAGCGTACCAAGCAGCAAACTCTCAGCTGCTTCCTTGCGGGAATTGCGGTCGCACATTTGCACCGGATCGCCTACCGGTCCATGAGCGTTCGTGTGGCCGTCCTAAGACAACTACTATCAGGTCTCGCAACAGCATGGCATCATCTTCGACTTTTGGAAGTCCTAATGGACGTCCAAGTGCCAACAGCACCGCCAAACCTCGCACACTGATCTGCTACATCTGCGGTCGAGAGTTCGGCACCAAGTCGCTTCCCATCCATGAGCCCCAGTGTCTCCAAAAGTGGCACATGCAAAACCAACAGCTGCCGAAGGAGCTCAGGCGGCCGCCGCCAAGGAAGCCCGAGGTTATCGGATCGCAGGTTGGTCGATCTTCCGGGGAGGCTATGAACGAGGCTGCCTGGCAAGCGCACCTGACGAACCTTGTCCCGTGCGATAGCTGTGGACGGACATTTTCGGCAGACAGGATTGGGAAGCATGCTGCATCTTGTCAGGTTAGAAATCAAGGAAAGGAAAGGAGTACTGGAACCCAGAGGTCAACTTTGGGAAGTGTAAAACAGATGCAGGTGAGCTGCTACAATCAACTCGATGTAATTTCTAACCCTCAGTTTCTGTGGTGGGACCGTTGTTCCCATAGGAGAGCATTCAGTAATCTTTTAAACGTTTTCCTTTGATTATCAAGTTAGGAGTGAAGGTCGCAGTTTCAAATTCTCCTTTGAGCTTTCAGATACTCGGTGAGAAGGCGTCATATCAATGACCCCTTAGCCAAGGTCGAAAGCAATGTTGGACTTTGAAAAAAAAAATGAGTTTACTTTCGTAATAATTATTACAGATGTCCAAGCCTTACCCAGCGGTCAGGCGCCCTCAGACCGTCATATGTTATATCTGCAGCAGGGAGTTCGGGACCAAGTCCATCTCAATTCACGAACCGCAGTGCTTAAAGAAATGGGCGCTGGAAAACGAGCGTCTTCCCAAAGAGTTGAGGAGACCGCCACCGGTCAAGCCACAGGAGAGGGTGATCAAAGGTATGTTGCGGTAGTCTTTATGATTTGTCTTCACTCTTTCACTCATAAAGGAACATGATACACAAGAGTAAAACAAAAGCACCCTGATCATAGAACGTAAGGAAACTCGATTCATCAGATTTAACGAATTTCACTCTAAATTGTCTTGAACATTGTTTTAGTCGGTTTTTTACCCTGTGGAAATAGAAGATTTCCGAAAATATCCAGATATATTCATTCAAACTGACCGGTGTCTGGCAGTGGGGATCTAGGTTACCGTATCAATCCAAGGTCATGTCCAAGTCGACTTGCTGAGCTCAGGAGTATCTCACTGAAGTTAGGGTTATGGCTACCAAACGGTTGTCTTGGAGCACAATGTTTTTACAGCAATATATGTACATGCACAACATCAAGTAACGAGCATTTCCGTTCAAGATACCTGGACAGCTATATTCTGCTTCTCGTTTCAAAGTTTTTGACACCCTTCTGCAAAACAATTCTTTCTGTAACTATTACAGCTGCAATTGGGAGAAATTCCAAACCCATGAGTCCAAAGTGATGGAACACATTTACTACCCCAGAACAGATTCAAGTTCCGCTGAACGATTTGAGATTGTGATTAATAGTGTTGGGTTAATGGACATTTTGGGAAGAACAAAACAGCATCAGTATTGAGTATCATCCTTGTGTTTAAGATGATGTCATCCGTCTTAAGACGTTTTTGTAATCTTTATCATCTTCAACGTTATTAAGTGGTAACCACGTCTGGAATGGATTCCACCAGTTAGTGGATGAGAAATTCACTGAATATTGTAACGCCATTTTGTGCTTCTTTGACAGGAGGGTCTGGGGTGTACAGTGTGGAGCAGATGAACGAAGCAGCGTGGCAGGCGTCCCAGGCCAACCTCGTACCTTGTGAGACGTGCGGGCGGACCTTCCTTCCAGACCGCCTGATTGTTCACAAGAAATCGTGCAAGCCCAAGAACTGACCATGAAGAGTGTCAGGAGTCCGTGGAAAGCAACTCTTGGATGTCGCGATTAAGTCAGTCCATGCATGCTAGGCCGTACCTGAAAACACGCCTCCTCGCACTGGCATCTTGGGAGTTCCAGCATAGCCTTTGACTGTGGGGAGCCGTGGACAATGACTTTTGGCTTGTAGCCTGTACATTTGTCTCACCAGTCTTTGATTAGATGAAATTTTATATACAGTGCCATGCTATGTATTTAAGCAAACTGAAATATGTGTATATATCAGCCATAGTTTCTAGAGAGATCTATTTTAGATGACGTTCTACTGATGTGTTCACGAAATTCAGGCTTTACCGTGATTAGTAAACATAAAAGCGGTTCAGTGTTGAATTCTGCTTTTTGAAGTGTTATTTCTAAATGGGAAATGTATTCTTTTACTTTCTTTATGAATTTTTCCGCTGTCAGTGGGGTTTCGGAATTTTTGGACCATGCTATCATCATCCTGGCTACCTGCAGACACAAATCCAAGCTTTTGTTGCCGACACTCGATATCGTCACTAGGAACGGGATGCTGGTTAGCGAAAAGGAAGAGTTTGGGAGGGATGTTTATGGGCAAAATGTACCCCGCGATGAATCGTGGTGCTGTCTCCATACACGCACCAGGAGGATTCATTCTCAGAACAACCATTAAGCCATCAACGACACAATGTTTCAGAGTATACAGCGACTGGGAAATGATGGATGGCGCCAGGCACGGGACTTGCCAGGAGCACCCGCGGGGCCTCTAAAGGCAAGTTCGAGCGAAGACCATTTTGTCAACCGCTGGTCCGTTTTGCTTGGTACTGGGGATTTATTTTATGCACGGGTTGTCTGGGGAAATCGACCACGAATGGAGTAATGCGATCGAAATTGCCGCAAGTTGTAGGCTTTGCCCGAATTTAACTTGGCTACAGCTGATAATACACATCAACAAACAGGAAATAGCTCCAGTCGCTAGCCACTGAATATCTTCCATGCAGACCCATCATGCTACGTACACTTTTCAGGCGCAATGGTGCCAGTATATGGGAGTGTCATTTACTCGGCTTGTTGATGCTCCACGACCTACTAATCCAAATTGATCAAGCACTGCATTAATCGTTGCCCACATGACGCCGTAGCTCTGGTGCTTGGATGTTTGAAATCTATCTCATAACTGATACGCTTTTGTTCGTTAGAAACTACAGATGGGTGTCAATCACTGTTTGGATTTGTGCTAATAAAAAGGGGTCAGGACATGCAACTTTGACACCTTTATAACAGATTTTGAAAACTGCCTCACTGATTACCGAACTGGAGTTGAACAGCTCTTCGAAATTCCAGCTAATTTCATGAATTATAATCAGTTATGACAAAAGGTGGTAAGTTTACCGCGTTGCGTCCAGAGGTCATTGGTCAGTGCCAAATAACTCCCGTTTTCACTGGTAAAGTCATCCGTAAATTCCTACTGTCGCGATCAGTGGCTCCACAAGGAACGCAGGCACGTTGATCCGAGTCCTGCTCAGGTACAGTTTGCTTGTTACCCAAGGACAAAGACATTATACTCCTAGGTCTGGTAGCTGGTTTGCCCGTTGTATGCCTTGTATATGATAAGATCTGGCTCAAGGACACAAACATAAACTCTGAGACCAAGACCCTAGATAATAAGGAACCCCGCAGGCCAGAAGCCTGTCATTTTTACCTGGGGAAAAAGAGATAGTCTTGAATCCAATGGTTGGAGTCAACCCCATATGGGCCTAAGGTCAGAATGTGGCCTTGCAAAAGGGTTGATTCAAGAAAGTGACTTGATTGGAACCCATAAAATAGGATGCTGCTTAAGGACACATACTCCTAGTCCTGACGACTGGATTCGAACCCTCACACAATGTACTGCTTAGCGTGGTGCCTAGATTGGAACCCACACGCAGACCTATAGGACTGAGTGTGATGTCTTTAGGTTCAGGGACACAGACGTAATGTACTCGCTGTAGACAAACCTCATCATGTAAAAAGAAGTGCTGCAAAATACCAGTTTTTTCTGGTAAAAGTCTTGATAATTTTTCTCTGTCTCTGAGTAATTACAGCTTTGTAGTGTTTTCGTGAAGTGCATGCAAGTGGTGAAACATCGATGCACATGTGTCACAACACTGTTCAAACAAAATGACACTTGCATTGACTGTAAATTTGACGGAGGCGGCTAAAAAAAGAGGGATTGCAAAACCATGGCGATTACGTTTTGAAAATGCCAGTTTACATTGACTTCTGTTGAAATGATAGAGTGGCTTAATGATGTTATCTGACACAGATATCTGTTTTCAGATATCTCTACTACGACTACAGTCAATAGCCAAGATAAGGTACCAGATCATCTCGCCAGCCACTGCATGACAAACTGGTAATGTGTGTACAATGTGTGTCGTGTGTTTATTACAGCACTTGAAGAGTTCATAACTCATGCTGTCGCGTTCAACCGAAAGAAGCTTGGTCGATGGTAATAATGTATGACTTTGATTTGCCTCTATGAGAAGGGAGGGGTAGCTGTGATAAGACAGGTCAGAAGATCATAAAACTCAACTTGATATCTCGCTTTGTGTATGTACAATGTGGTATTTATGACATAGGGCGATCTGTTGATACAGTACTATAGCGGCTGCGGACACAACATGAATATTCGTTCAGAACGGTTTTTAGCTCTTGCGCGCCATTCTTGCAGTGTCAAAAGCCGTCTTTCATAAAGCAGTTTGAGGGTAAGCAATACATACATTCATGGGCGTAAATCCTGGGGGGGGGCTATTGAATCATCTCCCCACTTTTTTTGTGATGAGCAAAAAAAAAAAATAAAGCCGATTGTGAAGAATTTACAGGATGTCCCAAAATGTTTGCACTATCACTAAAAAGGGAAAGCAATTTTTAAAAGCCATAAATATACCATTCCGATGTAAGATTCTGCATGAATTTGATAAACATTACCGATGTACGTCTTCATCATGAACATCGCCCCTATATAGTGTATATGGTGTCCCCTCCCCCATCCCTGCTTTTCAAATTTCGATGGCCAGGCAAGTCACCCCCAACCCTTTCTCATCCCCCATTCCTCCAACACATATTTACGCAACTGCATGCATGCAATGGTTACAGGACATCATATTCATTCCCTCGAAGGTCGTTCGAAAAAAGTTAGATTGAATAAGCACGAACATTACATCTATAACCCTTATATAAAATGATCTAGTCCAAACTTCAAGAGCCAGACCAAGCATCAAGGAAGTTCAATATCAGCTTCCCATCCCGTCCCATTGGGAGACTTCGGGACACGTGAGCTAATGTGCGCATGCTTAAAGTGACGCAAACAGTTCTTTTTCTGACAGAAAAAACGTTACGTTTACCTTTTCCTCATTCTGATGTATACGTTGTCGGTTGATACATCATGCGTAGATCAGTGATACGTTATCGGTCAGAATTCCTCTTTTAAATTACATGATCCGCCTTCAGGTGATTACACAGTCGGTTAGAAATTCTACTAAGTGACACTGTCGGTCACTTAGATACATCATTGATTGGGGATACAGTATTGCTCAATTTTGCGATACAAACTCGGTTGGTGGTACATTATCAGTTGTAAAACCTTGATCATAGGACGACTGGAAACTTGAAAGCTAAACATGCCGCGTTTTCCAATTTTTACCTGCAATGTATTCCTGCCGTTGCTTTTTCTCTGGGGGTATGTTCACCTAACACCTCCGCACGTCGTCGGCTTTGAGCTAACCATCATACACACCAACGATGTGCGGGCCCGATTCGAGCCAGTCAGTGCCAGGTACGGCGGGGAATGCACCGCTGACATGGAAGCGAAGGGAACGTGCTTCGGTGGGCTGGCCCGTCGGGCCGCCAAAATTAAAGAAATACGCGAATCAAGCGAGAACGTCCTTCTGCTTGACGCCGGTCATCAATTCCAAGGGAGTATGTGGTTCTATGTCAACAGGGGCTTGGCAACGGCACACTTCATGAACAGACTGTCCTATGATGCTATGGTGAATATATCGTGTTTATAATTATCCAGTCTGATTCTGTCTTCGATGACTGTTTTAATATTTTGTATTCCATGAAAGTTGATTGGATATTAAGTTTGACAACTTTTTCCCAAAGATATCCCGTGTGTTCAACTGGCACTATCGCTGTTTTGGGATATTCCCTATACAGGCAATCGGACAGCACGAATTCGACTTTGGTGTGGAAGGTTTGGCCAGGTTTGTCAACAATTTAACATTTCCAGTGATAGGTAGCAACATTAATACCAGCAAGGAGCCTAGCCTTAACCGTCTGGTACTGAAACAACATATTGTTCAGTTCGCCGATGGGCAGAGGGTTGGCCTCGTTGGCTACAGCTATGCAGAGACGCCAGATATTGCAAATACCGGTATGATATTTAACTTTCCCCCCTTCTCCGAATTAATACCATCTGATATTCTCGTATGCTATTTGTCAACATTTGTGTTGAGCCAGAAGCCATTTTGTTAATTGAATGGCCCAATCGCTTCAGGTGTCCCAAATGTGAAAAAAAAGGCTTTTCTTATTTTTGTGTGTCAAATTGATTGTACAGAAATAACTACAAGTTAAAGGTTACTTCGTCATTAGGCTCTGGGTGAAGAAAACCGAAACGATATCTTGTTAAATTTCCTGACCCGGTGTTTAATACTGAGCAAAATAGTTTGAAAGAAGACGAAATCGTGACTGGGGCGCACCCTTCTGTTACCGGAAGCTGCTTATACAGGGCTGCCATAACTTCAATGAACTGCAATAAAATGACATCTCAAACCGTATGCTTACAGCTTATCTTCATTCTTAATTAATTCTTTCAAACTAAAAGTTTGGATGATTTGATTCAGCCTGTGAACAAAGCAGTAGAGGTGCCTTAAAACTGTCCCATGTCACAGGTCACTTGACGTTCCTGGATGAGGTGGAGGGCTTACAACCGGTCGTGGACAGTCTTGTGTCCCAGGGTATCAACCAGATTATTGCACTAGGACACTCCGGCTACGACCGAGCGCTAGTCATCGCCAATACACTGATAGGCGTAGATGTAGTGGTCAGTGGGCGCGATTCGACCCTCTTGCATACAGGTAAACATTGGGCTTTGTCTTCCCTTCCCCCATCCAGACCATTATTCATACCCCAACCGAAACTACAGGGAAAGTCTCATCTGAGTGAGAGGGATTCCCAACATACATAATTCAATAACTTATTCTATTACATACACCAATGATACAACATGCATGTGTGTCTGTATATTAATGCCACTCCAACTTCCACTCTAACAAGGATCTAGACTGCAGCTTTTATGACAAATGCACTGATTTCTTTGGTGTGATATCCGGCCCACATACCCCGCACGTAGGCCTAGTTTGAAAACCTTCACTGTCTGACCCAGTCGGGAAACATTATGACATGACCCACTTGTCAAACAACAAACCATTATAACTTGAAATACACAAACAAGAAACCCTTGTATACAGTCGGCGATGCGTTTGCCTTTTACTAAAAGACTTTGAAAAGAATTTTAAGCAATTGTCTGGTACATGAGTTTGTCAAACAAGCAGAGTAACACAAAAGCACGCTCGTTTGGTTGCGTTTACCATCGTCGCCGAAGGGAATTCTTCCTTTGATGAATTGATGCAACAGACTAATAATTGAAAGGCTGTATTGCAGCTGGGAAGACAGGCCCGTAGGCTGGGGGGGGGGTCGGGGGTCAAACGAACCCCCCCTGCTCGCTTCTGAGTTCCGCTCGGTTGTTGTTTTTTTTTTAAATAAATATATAATTGTAATATACCGTAATTTTCAGAATATATGGCGCAGTTTATACATTGATTCTCATGCGGAAAAATATCTCTGCGGTTTATAATGAACTGCGGGCGGGTTATACGGCAACATTTAAAGAATGAAATCAGTCACTAAACGCTGCGCCATGCCTGCAACGCAGCTGAACCCAGGCCGCCGCTGCGCGCCGCGGCCGGCCAGCCACGCGTACCAGCGGCGCAGCGTTCCGGGCGCGGGGACAAGGCAGTCATGTTTTCATTGGTTACCGTTCACATTGGCTCTACTCATGTGTTGGTGAAGGAAATCAGTCCAGAAAGACTGAATAGACTTGTAAATGCACGATAAGTACCGTTCACACCTCACCGATGTGTGGTACGTCTGTTCGTTTTTGTCTTTTATGGTTGTGTAATCCATGTTGTTTATCATTTTACTGGTCTTAAAAAGTATTGTTGCATAGCCCACCCAGCAAGGACACTAAAACAATTTCGAGGACTCAAGAAAGTTTAGTTTTAATAAAAACACTGGTTTGCACGCTGCTCCACGTTACAATTGAAGAATGCGCTCCGGAGAGTGGCGCGAACTCTGTGGCACTTCGAATTTTCGTTTGGAACGTCTGTGTATGGAGCAATATCTTACCTCCAGTTTCACGAAAGGTGAAATTTAATCAGACTCCAAATATTCTGATTCATAAATTTCGATTTCATATAACCGCTACAAAGTTCCGATGACATATTAATTTGGTCCGTTTTTCCGACTTTTTTTTCCGAAGTGCAAAATGAAATGCGCCTCAAAACATTTTTCCCCATTTTTAGTTAGCTGAGTAAAGGTTATGATGATTTACTAGAATTTATCACTTTTTTAGAACTTCTGAGAATTTTTGTGGGATTTTCTGAGAATTTTTTAATAATCATGGTCATATCATTCACTCGTCACCCAGCGCCAGATTCAAGGTGCTGAGTGAAGAGCAAATTCATATACCAGGCCAATTTACAATAGACCTACGCTGTGAATATTGAAAACTGAAGTAGTGGGCCTATGCAAGTCTATACATGCATCCTTTGGTTCGCGACAAACATGGAACTTGTTTGAGTTTGTGTTCCAAAGCACATTATGATAGGCCTTAGTATAAAACTGTGTGTTCACAGTACCAAAAGTTCCACTTTTGGGTTTGACGAACCCCCCTAGTGTCTGATCAGGCAACGGGCCTCGAACCCAACAAGGAGATATTTTTCAAGATGTATTTTTGCGTTGGGGAGATGTCAATTCATATAACGGGTTTTGCCCTTACCCAACGTATATATTAATAAACACTGTATGCTCAGTGCTTGTCCGAGAGCTTGCGAAAAAAAGTCACAAGCTTATAGTCCAGTCCAGTGACAAATGAACTTTGATGATACTGCGATCATTAGCAGTGGCAGATCCTAGTTGCATGGGCACATCAGGTAGTTAGATCTTGTTTCTGCAGCTGACATGAATCTAACGAAGGGAATTGAACAGTGCCGGTGGCTCCTTGGATATACCACAGCATAATCACGATGACACCTGTGAACAAGTACCGAGAAAACCTGTTTTTATGTCTTAAACATTGTTCATTTGTAACATCTCTGAAGAAATTACAGTTATTTCTGAAGGGAAATGGCTTTGCACGACGACCGTCATATGGTGAACACATGTGTTGTAGAAGTAAACAAACTAAATATAGCACACTGTATCTGGGGCGCTGAAAGTTGCGTGATCCTGGGTCACCAGTAACCAATTGAAAGTTAGCGCATTGGGCGTGAGGCTGGAAACAATGGGTGCGTTCGATTAGCTTACACGTGTAAGTCAAACGTACACGAGAGCGTTTGTTTAGCCATCACGTCATCTTCGTGTCTGCCCTGGTGTCAGCCACCACTACCCCAGCTAGCGCTAGCGGTGGGTCTCTGGAGCTCGGAGGCTGCCCGAGTGTAATGACGTCACGGATGGACTATTCGTGCATGGGCGCGTGATGGAAGTGGCGGGGACTCGATCTTTTTCCCAGAATGCCTTGGCGAATACGCTGCTGCGTTCGATTAGCCTCATTTCGAGGCTTCCCTTGGTGTAACGCCGATGTATTCAGGGAAGCTAATCGAACGCAACCAATGTTGTCGGGTAGGACATGAAAACGAATGGAAAAACGGGTGTGTTCGTTGCATGCATGGGACAGACGACACACGAAAAAGGACTGTCAATGGCGTCGGACATCACGGGAAGGATGAAGTAGTGGCGGCTGCACCGGCGCAGCACCAATGGCCTGATGATGGGGGAGGGATAATCTTATCCAACTTGTAATTCACTGACTGGAGTCCTAGCTACCCGAGGAGCCATCTGAAATAAATCGACTGTGTGTTCATGTCGCCTTGCATTGTGATCGTCCGAACTGTAGCCCCAACTCGATTCACACGAATCAGGCCGACATGGCATTTCACTACATTTCTATCATTGATCAACCCAAAGTACATAGCATACATTCCAAATTGATATGATTGAACTGTTTATGACTTTCCTCAAAAATGATTTGAAAATTTTAAAAAATCATGTCAACTTCAACTATACGTGGAATATTGAAAGTCTTGAAAAGGGTTAATGTATGAAATTTTGATGCAAGACAATCCGAGGTAAAGGGTCATCCATAGAAGTTGCTATTTTTTGTCAAAAGTTTGTAAAATTAATCATGTATATGTAATATATACACTTCAAAAGGTCACCTAATTTAGAATCTAAAAGGTTGCCTAGACACTTCTCATTATTTTCATTTTTGCAGCATGTTTTACCGATGTTATTTACCGGAAGCTTAACAATTAGAATTTCACAGGACGAACCTTTTCTTGATCAAACATCAGAGAATTTTAACGAAATTTGTCTTCCAACTCAGGGCCTTTTATTCAAGTTTTCCTTGTGTATTAAATTAGATTTAACAAAGAGAGAAATCAAAACACAGTCAATTCTTATTAGACATTAATCAAGTACACAGCAAAGAAAAAAGGCCCCATTTAGTACCGAATTTAGCAGAATTTCCGTTAGAGGTATCTATAGATTTCTTTTCAAATCGTCTTTAAACAATAAAAATGATGGTTTACCCCCGTTCATTTCATCTTTTAAATATGGAAGCGGCAAAGCAAAGCAAGCGAAATAAATTAAGTACATTCCTGGAGTTATTATATTCCGGAGAGGATAATTTTGTTATCCAAAAGCATATCCATACTCAAGGTATTTGTAAGCTAATCGCCGATCTGATTCCAAAAAGAGGTGGAAAACTCAAAAGTACAAAAGAGATGCATCAAGGTTTCACCCTCGGCTTGACAAAAAGAACACAAGTTATTATCTCTTTTACCAATTTTAAACAAATAAGAGTTACCGACCAAGATGTAAGTCTCTATTGAATTTTTAACACAATTTAATAACGCCACGACCTCATACCTGAATAAGTAATACCATTTCCTAATACCCACTTCTATAAAAATCATTTCAAGCAGTCAGGGTGAAGCTAAAGATCAAGAGTTGACCCCATCATGATCTGCAGACTTGCAAGCAATACAACTTGAGGTTCCCCACTGTCATGCAGTTTGTCATCAGAACTCATTTTGTATCTGTCAAAATAGTCATTTAGAACAGTGCACACTGTAATTAAGACCAATTTAAGAAATGTTCACAGGAATATCCGTGATACTTCAATGGAAAAATTGAGCTGACTTTTAATTCCTGGTTGACCATATCAATAACTCATGTTCTGCCTCAAGAGGGTAAGGTTTCTTGCCCTAGACTCATAAACTGCTTGTGTGTGGTTAAACAGCTTGAACATCGACAGGAGTAGTAATTCCGCAGCAAGTGTGAACACTATTTCGACAATGTATCAGTCTCAATTTCCCAATATCTCATGTCGTTTGTGTGGTGCGTTGTGGTATGTGGGTGCAACATGGGTACACCTGTGGTTGTTTGTACGTACATGTACATGTACGTAGGACATAAAAGTAACGCTACATGGTACAGCAAGCTGCACGTGCCATGGAGCTATGGTTCGGTGGAACACTGTTCTAACAAGGTCCTTCGGATTCCCAAATTACCTTGTTATAATAGTTACCTTGTATTATCAGTAATGGAAAACAAAGAATTGGGACCTAAAATTGTCCTTGTTATAGACGCGACCTTAGCAGTGCTCTTCTTGTATGTAGGGGCAAGACTACAAGAGCGAGATAACTTTACAACTTTTGACTCTATAAAAACGAACCTCGAGGACTGTATGGAATGTGAAAAATTGAACCTTGAAATTGTACAGAATTTTGTGAGTTAAAAACAATTGGCCGTGTTAATCTTCCGAACTCATAATCTTTTCTTCACTGTGTTTTTTCAGCTTCGGCTTTGTGGTCCACTATTTGGCACATATTCTGTCATTAACAAACTGGGGTCGTACGTCACAGTATGCTGCGCAATGGTGGCATCATGTACGTATGTCTAAATACGGGCACAATGCTTTGTATACAAGTAAGGCCAAGGCTGTATACACATGTAGTATTACATGTACTAACACAGTGGCAGTGCTAAGCGGTAAAAGTCATACATACATGTACACAAACGGCTGCTCAAAGGAAGTGCATTTTGAAGAAGCAAAATCAAATTGTGCCAAAACATTTTTTACCCCGTGCTACGCTTTATTCCTACTTTATCCCATACACAAGGATCAACCTGTCCCAGACTTTCTGACCTTATGCCTATCCCTTGCCAAAGGTCAATCTGTACCAGAATTTTTCACCCTACACCTCATTCCTATTCATATCATTATCATATTATTATTATACTTATGCATATTTATGAGCTTTCCCTTTTCTGGGTCAAAGGTCAAAGTATGCTCAACTGACACTTTGACTGACAATTTGGGAAGCATGAATTCTAAGTAGTGGGGGCACTACTTAGAATTCATGCTTCCCAAATTTGTAGATTTGGCACGTTCGAGAACTGATGGTGGCGTCCGGGTAAACGACGTATGTTGAATGGCTGCCAATATGAGTGCTAACAAATAACCCAGCACACCCCGTGTTTCACCGATGCTTAATATACGACCAAACCTAGATCTTTGACTGAGTTAATCCTCGTTCTTTTTACACAAAACTGGCGGCGAAAAACCAAACTCCATTTAGTCTAAAGGGTGATGTGACAAAATGTTAGAGGTCATGTGTTTTCTTTAGAAATTGACGAGTGGCAATTTGTGGAAACCAACACCACCACTAATCTTTGTGAGTTAATGGCTTTTAACATACACGCAGCAAAAAGACACTAGTCAAAATGACATCTTATTTTAGTCACTACTGATGCCAGATTAGTCATCAACTAAAGACAATTAGTCATTTGGAAATGACTGAACAGAATAATTATTTTGACAAAAAAGGAAGCCCTGATGACGGGGTTTTTTTTAGAGATGCCCAAACAAGTAAAATTTTTGTTGCAAGTTTGAATACTTTTGACCTTGGGTGTAGTGTTTCTTGGTCAAATCACGTTCATGGTTCGTGCCTGTGCACCTAGATACGTCTTTCAAACCCACGTCCAACCATAGTTCAGAATGGGGTAAGAAATTGGCAGAAAACAATTCATCGGTTTGAGTTGATTTTCTTTAATTGTCCAATGTTTGTTTTTAATGTGTGGTAACTGTAAAGTGTGTAATTTGTCACTTTTTGCGCATGTGCTGTTGTATGTTGAAAATGAGTAGAGGTTAGGGTCACATTACATCCCAACTGGCAATTTTCATTGACTCGCTGAAACATTTCCCCATGAGGTGACAAACCCTCGACTGAGACGCCAAAAGGTGACTATCCTGCAGTGGTCCATCCAGACCATAACCCAACGGCCACTGTGTTAGTGGTCCAAGCAGCCCAATACGGCAAATACCTGGGCAACTTGAGTGTATGGTTTGATGACAGCGGTGTTGTTTCAGGATTTGGCGGGAACACCGTCCTACTGGATGACAGTGTGGAGGAAGGTATACAGCAGAAAATGTGTTACTTAAACAATTAACATTTTACAGTCATGTTTAAATGCTATAATCATGTTTACAGTGAACATTACCAATTGGATATGGACATTGAACGGTTTGGCTTGTAAACATGTTGAGAGTGATAGCAAGATTGTGTTTAATTGCCAAACACCTGCCGTTTTAAAGAGCATGGCGTTGAAATTTTGAACTGAAATTTAAACAAAAGTACAGAATTTGCCTTTTTCGGACTCACTGGCAAGCAAACTGGACGTTGCATGCTGCTTGTAATGTGACGTTCACAAATCTGCTCCAAGAGCAGGTTAAGGCTAGTTTTCTTATACAGTTCAGGGTGGTTCAGAACTGTTCGGATGTCGCTATAGTAACTGTATTTTTTAAACTTTGTTGTGATGTAGATTCAGAATTGTATAGTCACAATATTTCAGTTAAGGACAAGATTCTTTAGTGGTTGGCTTGGATTACCGTGAAATTGGTACGTGGTATTCAAGGAAAATACTTCATACACTTGAAAAACTCCCGGGTCAGTTGACCCATACATGGGTCCCATTCGGCGTGGCCTATATCCAGGTCAAAAAATGACCCAGAGAGGATCACATATGACCCAGAAATGGTCAAATATGACCAAAAGGGGGTCATATTTTGACTCAGAGAAGGGTCACGCCGATTGGCACCCAATTCTGGGTCAATCTGACCCGGGAGTTTTAGAGAGTAGAGAGTAAGTAAGTAAAGCGTACGATATCTAACTGATATGAAACATTTTTTTTTTATTATTAAGACCAGGAAATTTTAAAGGAGATGGAGCCTTGGAGAGACCGCGTGACTGAAGTAGCCAATCAGGTGGTCGGACAGACGTTGGTGGATCTGGACTTCGCGGCTTGCGCCTCCGCAGAATGTGCATTGGGGAATCTTGTGGCAGACGCTATGCTGTTCCCCAACTTGAACACATCGGACGGTTGGAGCGATGTTAGTATTAGCATCACGACTACCGGAAGTATGGTCTCATCTGCAGGCGTTGGTGAGTTTTGTCTGTTTAGTCGTGATTTCTTCCCTATGCACGATCTTATTTCAACTGTCATGCAGAAATGAAGTATCAGCGCCTTGAAAATTTAGAAATATGTATATTTTTTTAGGAAAGAGCAAGCTATGTTTTATTCAAAACATCATTATATTGTGCTGAAGGTAATAAAACCGAATCAGGTCTAAATGAGAATCGGAAGGTGCATAATGTAACCGAATGATTGCCATTTGCAATCCAGATGAAATAAAAACGAAGCGGCACAACAGTGTTATGAGGAAAATGCTAGTACCATTCAAAATTTCATCATTGTAACATAGTAATCGCCGCAGCAAAGACCAGACCAAAAACAGCGAGCTTTATTATTTTTGGATATCTCCTGTGGCAGCCCCTACATCTGGGGAACTCTCAGACGTACTGGCATAGTCTTTCCTCGGGTTTTGAGAGAGCTTAGACGAGGACCTTCAATCGTGTAAGGACCCACCAGGGATGCCTTAACTGTCCTGGCTGAGTTTTTCTATCTTCTTCAGACTAATCACCCTTTGCAGAGGCAACTGTGACACATGAGCATTCCTGGTGGAAACAAACCAGGGTTATGGTAGTTACCGGTTTTAAGCTGGTCTTATATGGTGATATAGTCTGGCGCCAGGGATCATGACCAACAGTCGGGCAGGCTTTTTAGCTTCATTTATAGCTACCGCCCGCTTAAATCATGAAGCATCTTGCCCCTGATCAGTAAAGTGCTATAGTTAACCTCACGCTGCCATCATGGGTGTGCTGGGATTAGGGTCTAGTTGTTAACCCGAGAAGCCTACACTTAAATTTGCCACATGGAACGTTCGGACAGTGACCATTGGAATGTCTACCAACAATGATTTGGATAGCGGAAGACTGCAGGCAAGAAAAACTGCTGTCATCAACCATACATTCTTGAGGCGAAATGTTCATATTGCTGCCCTTCAAGAGACTCGTCTATCTGACTCGGGTTCTATCTTGGAGGAAGATTTCACTTTTTTCTGTTTCGGCAGGCCAGCAGGAGAACCCCAAATGTACTGAACTGGTTTTGCAGGGAGAAACAACCTGCTCTGTGGCATTTAGATTCCAGAAACAGTATTCGACAGGCTCCTATTCTTCCAGATGAAGAATGCAAGACAGGGAAGTTTACTTGTCTTTTCAGCATATGCTCCTACACGTAAGGCAGACCCAGAAACCAAAGATAACTCCTACAACCAGTTGTAGGGAATACTGAGACACTCACCTGATAAAGAGAGAATTATGATGCTTGGAGACATGAATGCAAGGATTGGTATAGTATCTATGAGGACTGGCCTACTTGCATTGGCAAGTTGGTGTTGGACGTTTGAATGAAAATGGTCAACGCCTTCTAGAACTGAGCTAGCTGCAGGAATAACCTGATGGTAACCAACACCATGTTTTCCGGTCCCGTCTCTCAGAAGGTCTCCTGGTATCACCCTCTTTCACGCCATTGGCATCAGTTAGAATTTGTTATTGTGAAGCATGTCGTATTGAGGTGCACAATACTAGAACATTTCACAGTGCTGACTGTGAGACATATCACGGCTTAGAAGTTTCTAATATAGTACTTCAAGTTAAACCATAACACCATCACACTCTGAAATGTGTGAAAATCGATATATCTCAAACTTCCCAACCACATCAGAAACAGGCTTACGGTGAGAAGCTCTCTGCTGAGCTTGAGAAATTACCATAGAATTAATTGGGATTCTGAAACCTAATGGGATGTATTCGTAGTAGTGCGCATAAGATTCTTTCTTATTCGTATACTTACTTCTGCCTCTGTATTACTTATAGGACATTTCCTCAAACCCCTACTCATCAAGCTTAAAGATAAAAACAGCTCCGTCACGTGTCCACATCCGGGTCCCTGTACTATCCTCTCCACGCATGCGCACCAGTGTTTCTTTAAGTATCCTCCCACTAATTCGTGTTTTTTCTCGTGTCCCAAAAAAACTACGAAGCTGTAAGGAATTTACAGGTATAGGCGCACATCAGTGGTGAGTGAGTGTAATTTTTACACCTTTGTCAGGTGTAGATTAGTATTATAGTTTGCTCTGTCCGATTGAAGGTGGCAGCTTAAAGCAAAATTTTAGCCCGTCTGCGGATCTCTCGTGGGGAGTTCCAGTCATGGCGGCTACCGAGTGTACGGAGCGGGAAAATATGGCTGACAGCCCGCATCCTACCGTAATGACGAAACCGTGTTCCAGTGGAACATGTCGTAGGGTTCTGGGGGTGGATGACCCACACTCACTGTGCTTTAAATGCCGTTTTGGTTCTAATGGGCATACCTAAGATCTGGGTCTGAAGATGGGCAGTTTATCCTCAGAATTATGGTCTTCCTTTGTGAATGAGGCTAAGGAAAAGAACAAACAGAGATTGGCAGATAAGGCAGCGGCTTTGTAATCGCCAGGGGCTCAGTGCAGCCCCACTAATGCCCCCCGTGGTGCATTTGTCGACAGGGCAGCGTTCCAACAAAGTCTCAATGACATTGAAAAACGCATGCAACATATATGATGCGGAGTATGATGCAAGGTTGGGCCCACAAGTTGGGCCCTTCAAGAGGAGTTAACCCCCCCCATACTGTTTCCCGTATGGGTGATGAGGCCCCTCCCCTTGGCCAGTCGGCTTCCGTTGAAGGTCAGGGTATGAGGCATATTCAGCCAAGGTCTCCCGTGCGGGGCTCCGTTGGCTCTGAGTCAGTCGCACCTAGAGGTTCTGAGTTGCCACGTGGGGGCAACCACAACAGCAACCTTACACGTGATGACGGTGGTGATTCATTGTTACTTCACCCAACGACTGATGAACTGTTTGAGGATTCTGTGTCTCAGGTTTCCACTGGCAATTTTAAACGTGGTCATAGGGCTGCACAAGGAGATGTATCTTCGCAAGATTCGGTTAGTCAAGTGGGGGTTGGCCCGCTTCATGGGGCTGACCGTGATTTGGAGGGATCTCTATTGGAGTTTGAAGGCCTCGATGTCAATGCAGAGTCCACAAAGCCCACTTCGAGGAACGGGAAGACCCTGAGATTACATCAGCTTGTTTTGAGCCTAAGCAGAATAAGGCGCTCTTGCCACGAGCAGCTGGTCATAGGAAATTGATTGATAAATTGTGAGCTGGGAATCCAGAGCGTATTCCCCTGTATCAGGCATCTTCGATAACAAGGTACAAAATTCTAGAGGAGGACTGTAGGAAATATATGGTACCCTCCAGGCTAGACCCTCTCTTGGTCCACGAGCTCAGCCGGGTGGCTCTCAGGTTTCATGCTGAGGCTCCCAAGCTCCCTGATAAGACCTTGGATGTGGCGGATCGCCGCTTCATGAATATAGAGAAGGAAGCTAACATTGGAATGGCTTGTGCTGTGTCTCAATCTTGGCTGTTAGAAGCGGCCTCCAAGCAAATTTCCAAGCTGGAGGGGTGCCTCCAGAATTTTCTTGACCAGCAGAGCTTGGAAGATCTGAAGGACCAGGTTAATATTGGTTCAGTTTCTCGGGCTTTGGGTATGGCTCAGGAGGCCACTCTGGATATGCTAGACCTTCAGGTGAGGGAAGCGGCCAATGTGAAACTAGCCTGACGCACCATGTGGCTTCAGCAGACACGTTGGGTTGATAATACCAAGTCAAAACTCAGGAAAGCTCCCATTACCGGGGATGGTAATCTCTTTGGTAACAACCTCAAGGAAGTAATGGAGGAGTTTAAGTTGGTAGATAGCCAGCTCGATGGAACCGATAGCCTTCGTCGTGTTCCCCTTCATACTGCGATGTACCGGCATGCGTACAAGCCCAAGCCCACCAATGTCCTCCGTCGAAAATCTTCCTCCTCTCAGAGGGAATCCTCTAACCATGGTTTCCAAGGGGGTGCGTCCAAGAAACCTCAGCTGGATGGGAGTAATTTTCGGAGCCCAAAGGCCAACTTCCAAAGGGGTTGTCGGGAAAGAGGGCCTTTTTGGCGTAGTACCTATGGTGGAGGTACCTCTTCCTTTAAATCACAATAGGATAATGCGGGCCCTTCCCGTTCAACCAGAGGATCCGGTGGGGAGTCGAATTCAAAAAAGGGAGGATTTTTGGCAACACATTACAAGCGACCAAGGGTCCTCGAGATCGTGCGGTCCGGTCATCTTTTGGAATTCCAGGAAGTTCCCTATTTCAATGGAATCAAAAAACTTCTGTCGGCTCACTGGCAACAAGTTCTTCTGTTATGTTCGACGAGGGTCAACGCCTTATTAGGCAAAAACGCCATCGAGCCTGAGCCTCAGATCAATCAAAACGAGGGGTTCTATTCAACATTTTTCTGGTGCCGAAGAAACCCTCAGGGTTAAGACCACTCCTCAACCTACGACCTCTGAACGGGTCTATAAAGAAGAAGAAATTCAAGATGAAATCCCTCCGGTCAATAAAGAAAGCAGTAAAACCCTTCGATTGGCTTTGCTCAATAGATCTGAAGGATGCCTACATGCACGTTCCAGTGAGGGAATGTCACAGGAAGTTTTTTGCGGTTCCATATCTGGGGGAAGACTTTTCAATGTCGGGTTCTTCCCTTTGGCCTCACGTCAGCACCGAGAGTGTTCACGAAAATCCTGGCACCTGTTGTGGCCAGGGCGAGAATGGAAGGGGCCCATGTGTTTCCGTATTTAGACGATTTGTTGATAAGGGCTCCGAGCAAGGTTCTAGCTCAAGAGGGAGTCAACAAAATTTTTGTTCTGTTAGAAAGTTGCGGTACAGTTTTTTGGTCAACAAGGGGAAGTCCAGTTTGACTCCCGGCCAGAATCTTGTATATATAGGCGGTCACTTCAAGACCAATTTTAATGTAGTTTGTCTTCCTCAGGAGAGGAGGGTAGAGCCGTTACAGTTTGTAAATCAGTTTATAGATCGGAGTCAGACTGCTGCTCAGGAGTTCTTGCGGCTCCTTGAGATGATGGCAGCCTGTATAGAAGTAGTTTGGCTTGCCAGGCTTCACATGAGGCCAGTTCAGTTGTACCTGCTCCATTTTTGGCGCCCGGCCTCGAGGAATCTGGAGGCTTTGATTCCAATCAACGACCATCTTCTTCATCACCTGCAGTTGGTGGAGGGTAGGGAAGAATTTGCTGCAGGGGGTCCCCATGACGGGGTTGCCCCAGAGATCACTCTGACGACGGATTCGAGCGACTATGGTTGGAGAGTCAGTTTGTACAGGGCCTGTGGTCGCAAATCGAAGTTCAATCCCGGCACATCAACATGAAGGAGTTAATGTCAGTGATGAAAGCCTGTCACCACTTTTGCCCCCTTCTGAGGGGCAAACAGGTCCTAATAAAGTCAGACATTTCCACGGTGGTGTCATACATAAACAACCATGGGGGAACGAGATCTCCCAGCCTTTGTATGGCAGTTTGGAGACTTTGGCTATGGTGTGTGCAGAATCAAATCGTCCTGTCTGCAGTGCACATTCAAAGATCCCAGAACAACCTAGCCGACAAGCTGTTCAGGCAGACGTTGATGAATTCCGAGTGGGGCCTGTCTTGTTCGGTTGTGAAGTCTCTTTTCTGGAAAATGGGCGAGTCAGTGATCGACCTTTTTGCAACAGCCAGCAACAGACAGATCCTAGTGTTTTGCTCGCGGGACCCGCGAAGCAAGGCATTTCACTTGGATGCCTTAACTCGGAATTGGGATGGGTTGACAGCATATGCTTTCCCCCCGATCGCACTGATTCATTTGGTTCTGGATCGCATAGAGCGTTACAAATGTGCCAACTTTTAAAATGTGCCAACTTTTAACGCCCAGTAAATAGGAGAAAGATATGTAATTTTAACAAAACATGAAAATCCCCTTAATGCTTAAACGTAACAAGGTTCGGTGAAATTCACAGAGAATAAAAATGTTACTAGTTCAAAAAACAAAAGAAAAAGTTTGAAAAGCACATTAAGAAAACGGTGAACTAAAGACAAAATCATCAGTCAAGGGGGTACACAAAGTTTTATGGATGCAGATTACCAGCGAAAAATTGCAGCGGCGATCATAGGGTACAAAGGGGTTTCGTGGTTGTGAAACAGATGGTGCGAAGCAAGCGTTCGCTGCGCTCTGGCTATGGACATACCAGGCATGCGAGAAAGCAGTAATTGGCCAAATGTTACGGCCCGGGCAGTTCAAACTCCTTCTGTGTCCATCCTCTATGGTAGAAGGAAAGCACCAGGCCTGGTGGTCAACCAAGGTTGCGCTTCGAATATGTTCTAAAGAGAAACTTAGCGGACTTTGGTATTGACCACGCTTCCTGGTCTTTTGTCAGCGAGACATTTGGCAAGCCAATCTTCTCCGTGGAAAACAGATACGATTAATAACTTAGAGAGATTGAGAAAGCGTCGATGTAGAAGAAATAACAGATGATAGAATATCTCAACGGCATTGTCAGCTGTGACAGACGCCTGCCATTTTTTTAAAAATATATTTGTTATTTTTACGGATACAGGAGATATTACGATAGGTACCATTAACAAGATAATACCATACGGCGATACCATAGACGTTATTGAGCTGAAAGGCAGACACCTACTAGAAGCACTGGAAAACTCCGTATTTGATTGGGATGAAGACAAGATCAATTACCAAATGATGCAAATGGCTGGTGAGTAAAACTAAAGTTAATGTTCTTGAAGCGAACCTATTGTAAACCGTTAGTTAACACATCGGAGACATCTTTGAGCTTTCTAAATTCCCCTATTATAGCTCCTAGTAACACCGCTTTCCTTGGAACGGAATGTTTCATTGACTGCCGTAAACCTATCTGCGTCCATAATCTATATTCTAAAAAAAGAGCGACGACAAACCTTTTGCTCATCGATTTTCTACACTTCGTTGGCTATGTTGTCGATTTTCTATATGTTTTTTCACACGGATTCATATGGAGTTTTTTAACTTAAAATAAATGGCCTCACCAAGTAAAAAAAAGAATCATGTGTACGGAGAGAAGACAGGCCTAGAGCCGTGTTAATGACAGGAAAAAGTTGCAACTCTAATTAAACCACTCTACTTGTGAAGTCATCCTGTTCAGAAAAAAATGTCAATTATTATGAAGAATTTAGTATTCTCTAAGAGTGTAAAGTCATTTCCTTGAAAGGACTGACCGATCAAATTGATTTGATAGAGAAATTTCAGTGAACACTGAATTATTACCGGTACGTCAGACACAGTTACGTACGCCATTTAAGAAGTTTAGGCCTAACAGGTTCCGTGTTCTCCTTGAATATTTCGATATGCCGCGCTAATATTTTCCATTCATTTCCGGTGGCTGTTAAGGATTTTCAATTAAAGACTCCTTTCAGTTCACTGAGACTTATATTTTAATGTGTCCTGATCTGGTTGTTAGTTTTATTTCATATATTTAATTTTAATTGTAACGTATAATTTTTCTTTTGTTTTGTGTTTTTTCCCTTAAACTTCGCATTTACCCAACTTTACTCTCAGTTTATCATCAGTTTTAACTCTTCCTCTATTAGCAAGTTATGCACGAAAGTGTAGTTGGAGTGTAGTTGGGGCATTCATTGTAACTAAATTAAAATAACAAAAACAGCCACCCAGGCACCTGCAATGCCATTTGAAGCAAGATATGGGACGGAGAGAACCCCCCCCCGCGTTTGTGTTGGTCATGGTTTGATCGGAATCTCAGGAATTCTTTACAGACTTCTAGGGGGATGTGTTAGGTAACAATAGCCTAGAGTGCGTATAGGGATTGGACAGGTAAGGTGGGTACCCCTCCGTCCCATATCTTGCCTGGCACCTGCAATGCATAACCTCCATTGAAGTTTCAAGAACTTTTAACGATGACAATTCATGTTAAACTTTGCAGACCAGATTAATCGTTTAGAAACTTACCGGTACAATACTTCTCAGATGACGTACCGTATTCCCCGAACGAAATATCCTCCGAGGGTGACCAAGACCATGTATAATAATTCCAAGGTTGTGAACGTTTCTTCATTTGAGGAGACAGTGAAGTATGGTTCCCAAATTAGCCGCTCGCCCGGCCAGACGTGGTTATTGGTGGTGTAAAAAGTCCCCCAACTAACTCCGTGCAGTCATATCGAAAGCAATTAGCACAGACATCTTGAATCTAGCATATTTCCGCAGCTAACTTGTACATATAAATCCACTGTGTGTGCGCCTTACGATCCACCGATGGTGCCAACTGCATGTCTCTGTGTGTGGCTCGATATGCGTGCACAGTTCATGAACCCAGTCGAAGAGTAGTTGCACAATTAACGGCTTGGGCCAGGAATAAAGCCCGTATGCACATGCAGATGTTGAATAGCTAGCCAACGTTGGACAATGGTTCGAGTTCATCTCACTAAGTATTAGTTAAGACGTTTTGTTCTCTTGTACAATATGGACAAAAGTGGAGGAAGGGTCGTGGTTTAAGTTGGAGAAACGACTCAAAGGTGGAGATTCTTTGATTCAAATACGAATGTCCACCTTTTGTCATTTCTCCTTTGCAGAATTTCAAATTTGAGAGTGCGAGCAATTGACGAGGGACGGGTGCACATGTTTGAGTCCAGATACAGCAAGAAAACGTAAACATTGCAAATTTAACCCTGAATAAACTTTTATTTAAAAATGTTCACTTTATTTTATTTTTTCAGGAATGCGTGTAGTGTATGACCTGTCCCGTTTGCCTGGTGACCGTGTAGTGTCTATTGATGTACGGTGCGCAGACTGCCCTGTGCCCGCCTACGATAAACTGCGTCTGGATGCCGTCTACAAAGTAGCGGTTAACAGCTACATCGAGCAGGGCAAATACGGGTATTCGTCCCTCACAAAGAAGCTAAGCGTCCGAAGGGGTATGGACAATGTACATAAACACCTCTCTTAAAATTTCCTCATTTTCAGCCGTGGCAAAGCAAAGGGATGGGGAGCTCATCAACGGACACAAATTTGGTCTCGAAAGTGTAAGAGTTATGACGGTCAAGGAAAATACATTTATCTGTGCTGTAAAATATCACGTTAGTTCAATTGGCGCGCTAATTAGCGGTAGCATAGATGGGCTACTGGGCGGTCCCCCATTAACAATTCCATCTGAGTTTACGCTGGTACACCTTTGAAGAAATAGAGAAATTTTAAGCGGGTCCTTACGGTCTGCATTATGATGGCCACGATCGTGCTCTCCAATCCACTTTACCATTTGATTACAGTGGCTTCCTTGCTGTCAAAGTGATTTTGGCAATTGGGCAAAAACTGAAACAATAACTGCTGTATTTCCCGCATAATCTATTCATTACAAGCTATGTTTAGTGCACGTTAATACTGAATGTCACCGTCTCCTGCTAGAGTTCTTAAAAAAGATACTTGCAGTGGCAGCCTCGTTTTCGTATCCGTCCCCATAATCCAACTCCACGTGTAACGAGACAAGGCGCGAGAAAGCGTCGGCATAGAGACGAGTTTTTCTTTACCAACACATTGCGTTCACTCGAGTTTCTTTAGAACATAATTTTCCTCCATCAAAAAATGAAACGTGTGTCACAATGCGATTAATGGACACAGGTAAAACTACATATCAACCGTGGAGGAAGCGTATATCTCGCTGACAATCAGTTCTGATTTAACCTCCTTCCCTGGAAAACAAGTTTCTTACTCATTGGTCATTACAGGCGGCCTGGATGCAGACATCTTGAGGGACTACCTCCTGAAATTTTCACCCATTTCCCACAGCGTTGAGCTTGGGCGCCAAATCATACACAACGGAGATGCTTCCTGCTTTACCGACATGGAGTCCTCGGCAACTGCCCTGCGAGGCTGGAACCTGTCGATCATTTCGTGGGGGATATATGTATTTTTTCTACAATTGAAATCGTATATTAGGACAGAGGAAGCATAGGCTTCATTTATAAGCGTTTTCAATGAATGCTGCCCCCTTGTGTTGGTTTTTGTCTTCAGCAAAGAGGCTTACAGTTTGATTGTGTCGAAGTAAGCGGTTTTACATGCATTTATCACTTGCTATTTTGAATTTAAAGCTTGTTCTCGCTTGTTTCCCGGCCTCCATTTTTTGCATTTTTTTTTTCAATACACTCCTTGCTGTGGCAAGTTCGGGAACGCCATCAACAGATGAACATGGTCTATAGAGAACCCATCTACACGTTCGCAAAACTAACATTTCATTTCATTTGCAGCAATATATAAAACAATCATTTAACAAGGCGTTTTGTATTGGTTACTATCATTGCTTCAGAGGAAATTTCCCTGAGACATGTAGCTGGGCACGTATTCTGGTTATACAGCATAATAAATTACTCTAACTTGCTTTGTCACGGCATATTGCAAAAAAACATCATTTACACATTACAAGTTGTATATGATTAGTTGTTACTTTCGCAATGGAAATCACACGTAATATTCACTGCCATACTTTCTATTGTATTTCTATATCAATTTTTAAGAAGCTGGCATCAAATAGATGCGTCTGCAACACGAAACTTTGGTCTGATTCTAAAGTCACTGCAGAAGATTACATGACCAAAAGGTATACTTCGATGTAAATAAAGCTCTTATTATACATGTAGATCAAGTAAAGCGTCTATTGTGCAAATGGCTCTGGTCTAATTAACCTTCAGGAACGTTTTGTAGGTTTCAGTGAAAATTAAACACAACTTATGAACCTAATGCGAATATATTTCGGCCGATTGTTGCACGTTAACGGGATATTATCTCTGTTTCTTTACAGATAGCAGGAGAAAGTATTTGCCTTACTTTGGAAAATATCAGTTTTATGATGGCTCTGATTCAAACTGACAAATAGCGAGGTGTTCACTCGAAACTATGAGCCCTATTTAAAATTTGGTTTTGGTACAATTTTTTCAACAATAGCATTCTATCTGTAAATTGCAAAATATTTATGTTTCAGATGAAATTTTTATAACATACGTAGCCTCTTGCCCTGTCAGTGTGCCATCACAACAGGATTCAAACGAACCAAGAACCGAACTCTGCAGTCTTATTTCTGTCCACAACCCCCTCCCCTTACTTCCGTCCTCCCCTGTGCCGTTTCCCCTTCACCACGTCGTGGTTTACATACAGCTCGCTCCCTTTCTTTAAAACTGGCATGACAACTGCCTTCTCGTATTCGTTGCCACCCGATTTCACCTCCACAGGATAATCGGTGACTTCATAGACCGTCCCCGAGTCAGGCCTAGTCCCACGCCAGTCAGGGTCCGGCGGGAAGGTGAGATCCATGGACTCGGGCACCAGACCCTGGTAGGCCGACATCTGATGAGGGCGGTTGGGGCCAACTCGAGCGGAAAGAGCCGTGTAGTCCGTCTGCTGCTGATGATGATCGTCGAGTGCTTGGCACGCAGCAACCGGGTCCGGCCTAAGCTGACGCTTAATCTTCATCCGCAGTAGGAACAGGCTTGTTACCACTATTACTAGCACGAGGACACAGGAGCAGACGACTACGACAATCATGCTTAAATTCGAGGAGTTGGTGCTTGGGAGACCCGGCGGATCAGTTCCTTTCATCAAGATCTGCAGTGTAACCGTGTCTAAAGCATACTCATTAGACCCATCGGAGACGAGACAGGTTAGGTTGAATATCTCCTTATACAATATGGTTTGTAGGTTGAATAAGTTCAAAACGCCGTCTTGGATTTGATAGTCAAATTGGAGATTCTGTGACGCATTCGGTAATGTCCATGTATATAACCTGTAGCTTTCCGGGAAGTAGCGACCACGGCACGTGAAGGAAACGTTGGCACCGCTCCGAATCGTTAAAAGCCTCGGCTGTATCTCGGCCTCCGGTGGAATATCCACGACTACTGAGCAGTTTCTTAGGCCAAGCAGTACTTCACTTCTCAGCCGACAGGTCAGTATCAGACCGTCGTCGCTCTCTGTAACACGGTGGGTGTATGTCAGACTGCCTGCGGAAGGCCCGGCGACTAGCTTTGGGCCTCTGTACCAGTAGAGCTGAGCGGGAGGAATTCCACCCCTGGAATAGCACGTGAAAAGTACGTCAGTACCAACCAAGTGATGGGGTACAGGGTGACGCATCAGACATTGTGGTGATGTATCGTTGGGCGGCGCGATCACAGTGATGTATACAGGGGGTGACCTAAGCAACTCGCCTCCCGGAGATTCATAATTGCAAAGATAGCCACCTGCATCTTCTGGTAGTACACTGCTAATTGTCAAAGTGGCTGTTATCTTACCAAGACCCAGACTCTCGGAGCAGGTGCGACGTGCAGAACAGGGGAACGTGCCGTTTTCATTCATGAACTCAACCGAACCTCGCCCTACTAAGAACCATCCGCGCGGCTCCCTCCACGTGCACTGCAGTACAGTTGTCTCTCCAACGACAGCAGTAATGTTGTCAGGTGCCACGGTGAGCTCTGCACCATTCTGCGCACTGGTGAGGTAAACCATCCTCATCCAAAACAGAAGTCCAAGAGGCGTCAACTGCAACGCGCCCATGCTGCTAGGTTTGCCAGTCTCTGCGAATGTACCTGTATGAAACGACATGGACCAGAGCGCCTCGTCTTGTGCTCACCAAGTGGAATGTTTGGAAGATTAAAGAATGAAAGTAAAAAAAAAACTAGCCCTGACTTCCTTGACATCACTTCCTGCATCTACCAGGTTTGAGCTAGGTCATTATTATGGAGAGTGACAAGCACGACAATGTGCCTGCTTCCTCGCTTCTTCCACCGGAAATAATTAAAGTGTTGTATTCACACTTTGTACCGTATACTCCGTTATTCCAACTGCACCCTTTCCATTACACTCAATTTTGTAATCATCGCGTAAAAAGTTGTATTTTCCCAACGTCCTTGCCGACTTGACCCTCAAATGAAGAACAACTAATGTTTCCTTCGACCAGATGTATCCTAAATTGAGTCTACTTGGTGTCAAAAGGATTGCCTTAAACACCCAAGACAGTCGGTCCCGTTGTTACGACACAGACACTGACTAGGACATTCACGCCAAATGCGGTCAGCATGCAGACATAAACCACAGGGCCCATGATGAGCGTGACAACTATGATCCTAAATTGTGAAAGTAGCAAGTCTCATGATCCTGAAGTAAATAAGACTAAGCACGACACCAATGTCACAGCTGGGGATTTCCCTCGTTGGTCATCCTCAGCAGACAGACAACACAGTCGGGATATGATCTCATTCGGGGAAATATGCTTCTTGCGCAATGGACTGGGACGCTCGGATTCCAAGTTACAGTTAAGCAGAACAGCAATGATATATTTTTTTGTCGACGGGCAAATGTTCCCTGTGCGAGCGTTAAAAAAACCCACATCAACAGAAACAAAATGCTTGGAAGAAAATTATTAAGAAAAATTAAAGTAAACCTAAAAATTGTGTATGTGGACAAAACACAGGCTGTTACAGCTGTTAAAGTCACTCCGAGACTTATGACCGTCCTATGAGTTACCTTATAACATAAAGTTATGACCAAGTAAGTCCTTTAAGCAGACAGAGGTCTGAAAGCTGGACCTCTAAAATGACGTAACATGACAGGGATGGCAGCATTATACTGCATTCTTACTGTATAACATGCTTTTTTAAAGTACCTTTCATATTTCAACCCAATCAGACATGAACCTCAGAAAACAAAGAACTTTAAATAATGCCCTTTTAATGTGATATAACTTGATACTCAACGCATCGTCGCGACGTTACTTTAATATTGTTTTCCTTTAACACACGCCCCTGTTTAAGTGCTCGGAGCGTTTCGACTCAATCGGACCTGTTCTTCAGAAGATAAAAAGCAAACGGTCACCTTTAACGAAACATGCACCTTCACTTGAACGATGCCAAAAACACCAGACATTTTATACCGGACATGTTTATATTTGTGCATTTTGAAAACTGCGGTTCTCTCAGGCGGGTCATGTTTTGATCTTGTCCAAATCCCCCCCCCCCATTTCGCCACCAGGTGTACTGACGTGTATGACGGGGTTCTGTGACAGTCATGTATTTATTGTCCTCTTAATTGCCAGGTTTGATATTAAAAAAAAACAAAAGGCCTGCAGTCTGTCTGTGGCATTGCTGATTGTTACATGTACAAATGTCGCAAGAGACAAGGATGGCGAGGTGATCTGTGCCTGTGTCCGGGGAAAGTGTCTCATATTACACAATCGCAAGCAAGAGAACAAAAACAACACCTGTTTTCACTTCATGCCGACACAAGTTAATATGTTATGATTCATAAACGTGAAGAATTGCCTCACATCAGAACAACATGTTACTGAACCATTTAATCCGTGGATTATTTTCCTTAAAAATCAGCAACATCTTGAAGTAATGCATTTAGTTTAACCATTCTTCAAAGTGTCATTATACATGCCACAACATAATTTCAATTATTTGGAAAAAAATTTACTGCCAAAATAGGCCGAGAATAAAAACGATAAAACAATAATCAAATCCATCCTTCTTAAAACTTGATTGAACTCTTTTCAAAGAAATATGCACATCGAAAAGCATGCAAAATGTACAAATTCCAGGAACACAGTTCATTTTACTGAAGGGAAAAGCTACGTCTACTCAGTTTGCGGTGTACGTAACTTCAATAGAAAACGTCAAAATGTCCTCCCATTTCTGAAATTTGAGACTGTAGAAACAGTTATAAATGTTAAGTATGAGACTTTGCATAATCATCAGGACTCTGAATCAGTGTGTTAGCTGTTATGTCCTCCGTTAACTGCCAAACTCTTCACTGACTTTTGATTTTCTTCTTCAGTGAACCAAAGCGTTTCTGACGCTGCTTCCACATGTGACTCAGCATGAATGGTCCACCTGACACAGAACAGAGAAAAGCCATAGATTTACCTTCTCTTTCCATTATAACACCGGCGGGGGGGGGCTATATCAGCGGTATATTTTTGGGTCAAGCCTGAGCACACTTATAGCATTCGTCTGTGGCACATTTTGAAGCTAATTTACGCAAGTTTGGATGTATCGTTCTTGCAGAACGTAAAATTGTCGACGCAGTGTGCTGGAAAAACTTGGTTCTTCATTGACCGCTGACTTGTCATGTATCTCCCAGAAAAGTGTCCCACGAATACACACGTTTGTGGAAACTTACATGGAGGGAGTGAGAAGGAAGCAGTGAGGCATGTGATCGGTGACAAAGAAAAATTGACCATCAGAGGAAAGTCCAATAACAAGGGAAACCATGATCTTTGCATTGCATAAACAGGGAGTGAAATGGTGGACCGTAGGGAGAGTTAACGCTTTCTGATCACCTACGCTCGGGGGGGGGGGCTGGACCGTTTTGGAGAGAAGTCACATATATGAAGCTATGAAACACTCTGATTGGGCAACACCCTTGCAATTCTTGCAGGGTTTAATTTGAATCTGCGGGACAAGAGTTTCAGTGTTCACATTTTTTTCAAAAATTCATAACTTTATTTACTGGACATTTACACCCACACGAATGGCTGTCTGGTGGCTACTCTAATCTGACAGGCCACCTCCACTGACATCCGAGTCTATCAGCCAGGCCCGCTTCCCAGTAAAAAGAGCCCAGATTGTGGGGTGTTGCGTAATTTCCTTTATTCCCGAAATTGGCCAAGTGTGTTGCTGAATGCCTGTGGCGTCTTTTCAAATGTGGCCAGATTAGCGTGCAGCAGTACTGTATCGCTCATCGCTGGAGCACTTTTGTCCCCACTGATAATCCACTGACACTGAATGCCACAAACAGTGGTATGCTATTTCAAAACAATGACGGATTAACTCCGCTAATGCCAACTGAAAAATGAATGGCAAATCCTGCAGCTCGGTCTTTTATTCCAAATACGGCCTTTTGTTACAAGGCCCAGCTCTTTTGTCTGATTTTGATTACAGTGGCTATGCATACAAACCTAAGGTGCCCGATTCCGGGAAACCCCGGAGACAAGTGGATAATTAAGGTTTGAATAAAATGAGGAAATAATGGATGAGCTGGTAAGATGATTGAGAACAAACAAAATTTTAGAAATGAACAAGCATGACTTGAATTTTAAGCATACTATCGTTACCCTCGCTCTAGCGTATGTAACTTGGGAGCACTGTATGACCTATTGTTGACATTAGGCCATATCCACAATTATACTGCTATCTGTGGCTATGGCTACACACTGTAGCGCATCGATGACAAAAAAAAAAGCCACAGCCACAGATGTGTCTATCTCTACTGCCCCATCACAGTGGATGTGGCTAACGCCTATCCATCTGTTTACTGCTGTCCAATCCCCATTTACATGCATTTATTTTTTATCACAGCCTAATGTCCCTTCTTCATCTCCCACTAGAGCTTTTACCCTTGCTCTAACCACCGCAAGAACTTTCCCAGTGGTCCATTTAACACTCCTGCAGGACTGAATTGAGGTACAACACTGTCTGGAATCAACTCACCTGTGGCAATCAATCCCAGATGTACGTACAAATAGTAGTCAAAACTGAAAGCCATGTTGACAGAGTTTGGCAGAACTAGCGAAAACATGCCAGTGTCCCTGAAATATGGGATTGCGATGTACGTCACGATAGCTGTGGACAGGAAAAATTGCAATGTAAACGTTTTCAAAAGAGAAAGCAACAAAAACGTTAACATTGGGGGGGCTAATCATCCTAATGTACAGTCACACGGCCACATTTACTAAAGACACACTGAACAAAGGTAATGACCCATATCTGACCATTTTAAGCACAGCCAAATGAGTCCGCCCTGTTCTGGAATGCACTATTCTGTCATCAGGGTAATTAAATTCTGTCTTCCAAGGGAGAGGCTACCCAGACAACCATGGCAAAAGGACAAAAAAGTCCTGTTTTCTTTCCCTTTCTCAAAGATTATGCCATCAAATCCCTTAAAGTAAATAACAGAGACCACCAACAAGGGAGACAGGTATACAAAGTCTCCAAAGTTCTTTACAGGAGAGAGGAATGCCTAAAGAATGTGGGTCCAGTACAGTCAGACCAGACCTGGATGCCTAGATAAGCAGTGCATTTGTGAATTTGATGGTGGTGCATAATTAAAATTCCTCTTAAGTACAGTTTTGCACTTTGCATCCAATCCCCTCAACCTATCCTCCACAATTCTACCCCCCATCATCCCGTATCTTCCATGTCTGCTTTGACTCCACTCTTAATCCCATCCATCTCCAATCCCACATCCACCTTATCTTTCCATCCATATCCTACTCCACCCTCCATCTTCTTGTCCATTTCCTACTCCGCCCCCTCCCATCATCCTATCCATCTCTTACTCTTCCCCCTCCCCATTATCCCATTCATCTCCTTCTCTGCCCCCTCCCCAACATTANCATCTCCTTCTCTGCCCCCTCCCCGTCATCCTATCCATCTCTTGCTTTAGCCCCCTCCCCATCATCCTATCCATCTCTTGCTTTGGCCCCCTCCCCATCATCCTATCCATCTCCTACTCTGCCCCCTCCCCATCATTCCCTTCACTTCTTACTCTGGCTGTCCCATCATCCCACTAATCCAGCCCAACCATTACACCAACCTTACTTATCCAGCATTTCATCCACTGTCTACATATATGTACCTTGTCCCCATGATCCTCCTCCTACAGGTACCCCTCCCCCAACAAACATCCTAATCTGTCACTTGGACCCCCATCCTTTACAACTCAATACAACTCAAAATGTTAACACTCCACTTTTATAAATTTTTCACTAAATTCATAAACTACGCTTCAAAGCGTTAATGCCATATGAGACTATTTAAATACTGATTCCAAGAGGAAGCAAACAAGCACTCAGTGGCAGATTGTAACACCAATGTACCTGCAAGGAAAAACTTTTAAGGACGGCCAGACGGATGGACAGAAGATGGAAATCAGAATTACACAGGCTCGCATTAGCTTCGCAGCTCGCGAAAAATCAAAAACTGATGCACTGCACTTCATATGTGCAACTTTTGGGCTTTATTTTTCCTTTATTTTAATCAGCCAGGATCTGCTCAGGATGACCTCTCACCTTCAGACATTAACCCCAGGGGGTAGAGTGGTATCCACATGGTGTACCGCAGCCAGGATATGACCTCGCTCTCATAGTTCAGTGTCGCGCATATGTAAAACGGGTACCTGGAGGCAAATTGTACAGGGTATATGTGTCAAAATTAAACAGGTATAAACATTGATAAGGGGTGGATATTGGTAACTGAGACATGGGCATCGTATGATAGGCAGGACTGCTTGCCAAGATTACTCTTACATGACACTGCCCCTCTCTGTGCAACCCCAGGAACTAAAGCCGTATGGAATTTTCACACATCTCTCCTAGGTCGCATTACACCCTTGCGACCTCCGTCTGAACAGTTAATATCAACAACCAATTCAAATCCTCACTGAATTCCTGTCTGTTCAATCGGACGTACACTTTGTAACTTACTTGTAGCTCCCTTCTTCTGTAATACCTTTTCATTGCTGTAAGCATGAAATGATACCTTTAGGTCAATACATTGCATTGTAAGAGTGAGCCATTATCACTGACGCGAATCATCGTAATCATTGTAACCATCAATATCATTATGACAGCAAAATTTGGCAGATATTACGGACAACTAAGCACCCCTCTAATCATGGGACAGTTTAATTTTGAGGTATGTGGAAATTTGCAAGGGAGACAACAGACCAAGTTCTCTGCTTGTCATGGTGAATG